GGAGATCAGCTTGAATGTAACTCTACTTGAAGTTATGCAGTGTCAAATTTAATATGGGATAGTAAACGATACAGACAATTATCTGTGTCCTGATCTTATACTTTCATATGTTCTGAGGCTCAGTGGTTAGAGCACTTACCTCGCAAGCGAGAGACCTGGGTTTGATTCCTGGGCTGGGTGAAACGTTGGGCAAGTTTCCTTACTCCACACACCTCTGTTTACCGAGCAGTAAGTATGAACTCGTTTGTTAGTCGATTGGCAGATCGCATTTTCAGGGGTAATAATTCGTTCAAAAAAATTATTAATAATAAATTGGTCACATTCAGTCCACGGCTGTTTGTGGGACGCTGCTGTGCACAATTGGCTGTTGGGTTTCACCCACAAATATACAGTCAATTCACTTTACAGTATATTCTGTGAAGTGCTTTGAGACGTCTCGAAGACGTGATAAGGCGGTGTATCAAACTCAAGGATTCTTGTTATTATTGTATGTTGCCACAGTTGTGCAATGAATAACAGGGCCATCATTTGATTAAGTAGTCTTGGTTACAACTTGAACCACAAGACCAAGGTTTAAGTAGTTTTATGAATCCCTGTGGAACTCTGACTGAATTGTAACCTTGCATTCAGTACCTGTTATTTATTGTGTGTTGTTATCTACAGAATTATTTATTTTATTTCAAGCCAGTTTTGTGGCTTGCTTTATAGCAACAGTCATGTTATAAAACTCATGCAAGGGACAAAGTGAGTCAAGATAATAATACTAATTGTAATATTTTATGCAAAGGAAAATAGGGGGGGAGGAAGTTTCAAGTTTTAATATCAAAGCAGAAGACCGACGGGAAAGAGCTTTCCTCTGACAGACGGGTTCGAAGAGATAGTTGGACTTCTCCTCTCAGAGAGGAGTGCAGGTCAGAAAGATTTCAGTGGAGATCTGCCATGTTGGCGATCCTGACTGGAAGAGAACCATCTGGATGGTGTGTATGAAAGTTCTTGCTCCAGCCAGGAAACTAGTGAGGAAACCTGAATCTATATCCTGATGCTGATGCTAAAACACTCAGCGAAATAATAATAATAATAATAATCCTCGCATTTGATATAGCGCTTTTCACGTCGGGAGGACGTCCCAAAGCGCTTCACAGAACACACTGTAAAGTGAATTGACTGTATATTTGTGGGCGAACGCGGCAGTCAATTGCGCACAGTAATGTCCCACAAACAGTCGTAGATTGAAAATGACCAATTTATTATTGTTTTTGGAAAGTTCAGTACTGTTAGTCGATCTGCTTCCAGGCCTCTGCCAATGATTCTCTCCAAAATGGGATAAGTATTAGGAGGGGCAGGAGAACAGTCCAGCAAGGAAAGAGACTCAATATTTTTTTTTAAAAATCTTTCCTGCAACGTTGGTATATATATATATATTTTAAAAAAGTTCTTAAAAGGGTTTTCCTACACCTTCTGAAGTCCGGGTTTCATTTTCACTGGATTAACAACATTAATGAGTAAAATGAAATGCATTTAAAATATGTCTTAGATTTTTGGATTGTTTTAAAGTTGTGCTAAGTCAGTTTAAAAAGCGGGTGGGGGGAATTTAAAGCAATAACATTAAAGAGCTGGTACCTGCAGACTAATGAAAATCAAAGCATGTAGCTATGCAGTGTGAGAGTGGCGATGCCTCCCAGCTATAGACTGCCCCATCTGTTTGCCATGTGAGGTGAGGGATGATGAGAGCCTTGTAATTGCAGCTTTGTTTAGGCATGTTATCACAACCTTACTATTTCATGTATGTAAACACTATCCCAGGGCTCTGATGAGCAGCTCAAAGAGAATGACAGTGTTTGGGGTGTGTTTTGTGTATGCTTTAAACACATTGCGTACAATATATTGTGAATGCACAAAATCACTTTCAACAATACTTTCCAACTATTTTAATGTCTGCTGTAAAGATGGAGGCAAAGGTTGTGCTGACTGACGTAACTCTATGCTCGCTTTTAAAGACGAGTAGCAACATTTCATAGCAGAAATACTGTGTATTAGGTTTTATTTACAATATAATCCCCATGCAAACTGTTTGTCTTACTTGTGAATAAACCATACAGTGATGTGTTGCATTTGAAGGATTGATGGTTTGAAGAATAATCTCTGTACTTTCCTCTTAGTGTCTGGTTGTTTATGAAATGCCTCCCCTCTCCTAAAGAGTCAGGTGAATGGGATAAATTCTTTACTAAGTCTTTACCCTCTCCCTATTTCCCTTCTGTTAGCTTTTTATTGTTTTGTATGTGGATCTGAAATAATATTCACAAACCCCTCCCAGGAGGTTGAGAATACACATTTATTGCAGTGTAATGTCACTCAAGTTCATATTTGAGCAATAATAATCCTCGTATTCAGCAAGGTGTCAGGAGGAAATCTCAAAGCGCTTCACAGAATTCACTGCAAACTGTAGTGACCGTATCTGAAGGCAGTTGTGACTGCCCATTTGTACACAGCAATATCCACACCATAAGCCATGAAGTGAATGACCAATTTTGTCCAGGCTATTTTTGGTCAGGTCACTGGGAGAAACTCCCTTCTCTTTTTGAACAGTGACATTGGATTTTCAACGTCCTCCTGAATGGGCTGTCGGGACCTTGGTTTAATATGGCAATTGCAGCATTGCAGCAAAGGGCACTGCTTATGTTATGTGAGTTCAAAATCTCAACGTGGGGCTGGAACCTACAACCTTCTGACTGGAAGGCGAGAGTGGTACCAGTTGAGCCAGGCTGACACCTTAAGGTGCAAAAGCTACATGGGTGAAAGATCATTGGGTACAGAGCAACATGTAAAGATAAGATGTCCAACCTTGGGGAGTGGGAGCCTGTGCCCCATAGATTTGCCTGTGTGGGTGTTGGCACATTAACGAGCTACAGCTTTTATCAGTGTGACCAACGCTGCCAGTTTTCAAGGAACAAATTTGCAACAAATTAGTGAGCGGCTGTACTGAGCTCCATAAACCAGGAGGGATAACACGCACAAGGCTTCTCTCAATACGATTTGCAATGTAGCTACGTGGTGATGTGCATACGTGCATGTGTCTGCTTGAAGGATTAATTAAACTCTTGATGAATCAAACTCAAGCAGAAAAGTATTGTATCTTTGTATTCTGATACTTCGAGTTGGCTTCAAGATCATGATGTAGAGCTGCCAACTGTGGTTTATAATTGGCAAGAGTGATGCAGATGGCAAACAGATTTAAATTTGCAGAGCAGATTTTATCTTCACCGTAAAGTTTTTTTTAAAAAAAAGACTGAAATGAATGCCTATTGCTAGTTACTTGACACGCAGGCCTGCGCCATTGATTTCTCCACCTCTTGTTTTACATAAAATTTCCGTCTGCATTAGGTCTAGTGGAGCATGTTAGCGATAGATAATATATTGTTCTTGCGAAGTCTTGAACTAAACTTTTTGGAAAACGATTTATATGGCAGGGACTTATTCCAGTCTCTCTCTCTCCCCCACCAAACGTGGAGTTCAGTCCCATGACACCATTAGCAGAATTCTAAAAGAATGTTGTTTAGATACAAATGCTAAAGTTAGTTCTAGGAAATGGCTTTAAAGTAGTGTCCATGCATAGCCTTGTATATTCCCCAAGCTTCTGGGATAACTTGGGCCAAGATTATTCAGAGCGAACAGTAGCTTAAATTCCACAAGTGACTGACTTAGACATATTTGTTTTATATGGCTTGACAAATTGCCAGCAGTTAAAAAAATAAATGACAAATGATTAAACATTACTGTCTAAAATACCAGGAGTGAAGATGACTGTCATGGAATTGACTATCTCAAACCTGAAGACAATATCTTCTGTGTCTAGTTCTGCAGCATCTCCTCCCCAACCCAATTTCATTGCATTGGTTTAAAAAAACTCAAATGGAACTACCCACTTCCAAGTGCCCGGAGGAATATTATAGAGACTGATTGAGCAAGCAAATCTTCTCTTCTCTGCCTTCCAGAGTCAGAAACTGAAGTATGTATTCCAGTAATTGTAGGCTCTAGTAAATATAGACGGCTTGCTCTTATTTCTTTTCAGCCTTTCGCATTTTGCATTTGTTGTCCATTCATTGCCCTTAGGTTACAATACAGAGACATAATGAAATACCAGAGCACAACTGTCTCTTTTTCCCTCTCAGTGTTTCTCCTTTTTTTAATTCCTGAAAACTGACTGGTGTTGGGGTGTGGTCCAGTGGGCACCATCCACTCTCTGCTACTCGCCTGAGTGACTATTCTTTTGGCATGATCTTAGATGGTGATTTCCATCGGCCTGTTTGATTACAGTGGGATTTAATTGCCAAGCCGGATCATGTCTTCATCCAATATCAAGAACATGCACACAATTTACACTCACCAGTTTCCAGACACCGTCATTGGAGGGAGGAGTGGAAATCCTAACTAATTTAACTCTCTAGTTTACTTTAGCGATGCTGAAGATAATTGTAGCAATTCCATTGACAGTCCAATTGTGAGCGGTTACCCAAGGAGGGATTGAACTATGTGGGTTGGAACCGTAGAAATTTACAGTACAGAAGAAACCCATTCGGCCCATCGTGCTTCTCTGCTGACTCTTTTAAGAGCAATCCTTTCAGTCCCATTTACCTGCCCATTCCCCAAATTTTGTAGTTGACTCCATGTTAAGTATTTGTCTAGTTTCCTTCTGAAAGCTAATTTGGGGATTCTTATCTCAAATAGTTGAGGCCACAGTAAAAGCAAAAGGTCATTTTTCGGCTCCTGGCAGAGCATTCCATTATAGTGCTGATTATTGGTGTTCGCATTCGAAACCAGTCAACAACTGAAGATTTTTTTGATAATGTGTTGATTTTGATAATGTATTGATTATCACCAGGAATGATTGTATCTTGACCTGTTGGAATTTTTCACCCCTGTATTTCAAAGAATATTTCTACTGCAGGTTGAAATAATACACTGTTGCTTCATGACTGTCTGTCTATTTCTCTTTGTTCCAGGTATCAGTATTACCTTCAGGTAAAGAAAGATGTGCTGGATCGACGGCTCCCTTGTATGTTAGAGCAAAGCATCAGGCTAGCTGGCTTAGCCGTACAAGGTAAGCATGCAAGGGCCAAACTGCTGTCTTCAAATATAAACAGGGATGTTATTAACCCCACATCAAGTTGCTCAGCATCTGAAAGCGACAGATAGATTCAGATCTAAACACAGAAGTTGCTGGGAACACGCAGCAGGTCAGGCAGTGTGCATGGAGAGAGGAAAATTGGTTAACGTTTCAGATCAGTGACCTTCCGTCAGAACAAATAGATTCAGATATTGGGTAAAATCCTTCATCAATCTTTCTACCTTACTTTCTATTATGTTCTCAGAAATTAATTCCCATGACATTACTGTGATTTTCTTTTGCGTGGTTACTGTGACTTTACGGCTAAAGTATAAAGCTACTCACATTCAACTTGAAGTAAAAAAATTGTAGTATTGAACTACTGAACCTGTTTGCAATTTGACCCAGAGGTGAGAATGCTACCACCTGAGCCAAGCTGACACCTGCAATATGTCCTGCAGTCCTGTTTTTTGCTGGAGTGAATATAGAACAGTAACTTCAATCTGTCGTGAATCTTCTGACCCCGAAACATATCCTCTATTGTGCCTGCCTCTATGAAAAGCTATCAAGGTAGTTGCAGGGCAATGCAGGGCTGATCTAAGCATAGATTAAACCTTTACGCTCCCTGCGTGTTTTCAGACAACTAATAATATAAATATATATATAGAGAGACAATAGAGTGCAGTGTAATCACTGCAACAATTATCTGTTGGCATCGTTTCTCCACACCTGTTAGATCTAAAGGTCTTGGACCTATAACCACCTAAATGTAGAAGACCGCAGACTACAGTTCTCAGCATGTATGAGAGATATTCTGCACACTGGTGTAATTGAAGTAATAGCTGCTAAACTCAGCAATTACACTGGGGGAGATTTTATGAGCACAAAGAGCAAACTGATGACAAAAATGGAAACATGGGAAACTTTGATATTTGCATGGGATGCAGGTCACACTTTTCTTTTAACCAACAGTTTTGAATATAATTGCACACAGCGAGGTAACCACGGCTGTGTCTACAGATTTATATATTTCCGCTTCAGACAGAGAGGAAAATGGACCTTTTGTGTTTAATGTGGCCTTAACTATTTATGGGATAAGAATCCCATTGTTGTGAATTGAATTCCTGACACTTATGAAGTGTGAAATTGGCATGTAGGTGTGAAGGGACACTGGGGAATGCAGGGCAGCTGTGCGCGTCCTGTGCATTTCAGCTTTGTTGGCTGTGGATCAAGAGCTCGATTTATTACGATGATTTGCGTGAATCCTAATTTGTAAAGGTAGATTTGTAGCGAAGTGTGGAGCCGCTGCTTAGTGTTGGATGTGTCTGAAATGTTGGATGTGTGGTATTTGACCCCACCTTTTCCTCTTCAAAGATCCAGACCCAGCCAATAAACCTAGATTAATTGCCTTTCTGTATAATTTTAAATCTCTTTGTGCCCGTGTGTGAGTACTTCAGCAACAGAATGAACTCTGTGATCCCAGGTGCTGACTAACATTGCTCTTGTGTCAATGGCCTGATGATACTCTGCATCTTTCTCCCCCTATCCCCACTTTGTCTCCCGTCCTGCAGGAATCACCTGGGCCTCACATGGCACCTCACCATCAGTGGTGGTAGACACTGATTCCGATACACTATCACCATGCACGGTGTGCTGTGAGTTGAATCATCAACCCATTGTGACCCTCACAGTGAGATAAATGTCTGTGCTTCTCTGTGTTCCTCTAATTCAGCTTTAAATTGAACCACAAATTTACAAAGTAACCCCCCAACTCCCATATCTCTTGCTATCACCAGTGATGACATCGCATTTTGACTCCTGGATTTTGGGGTATTTTGTGCCGAGTTCTTTTATGAATTCACAGAAGCAGTCCCTCTATAAGTAGGACAGCGGTGACAATAAATATTACCTTCTTTCTTTGCAGCTGACTTTGGAGACTATGGACAGTATGAGTCACAAGATTTCCTCAGGGAATATGTTTTGTTTCCAATGGTAAGTGTCTTTTTTGTGTGCGTGGGCCCATTTGGAAATTCCACGTTGAGTTGTAAGGAGTGTTGTGAGTTACAATTCTGGCTGCGTGAGATTTGACTAAAAGTCTTTCAAATTACCGTGTAGCCTTTATCAAAAATAATGGGAAACTTTGTTTGCTGCTGTGTTATGGGCGTGTGTAGACCTACATTCAACCTTCATTATGCCAAAATTGTAAGGGGACCAGTTATTCGATATGGACCACATCCCACATACAATTTGCTCTGTTATGATTCTTGCTTAACCTAATTTACCGAGGGAGGCAAGTCAACTACATGTAAAACATCCAAGGTGATAAAGATTTGTTATTTTTTTCCTAACTTCCCAACGGTAAGGGATTGAAATGTCAGAATATCCATGAACATTACTTCCCATGTTATTATTCAACTTGTTTAATCATTTGTATTCAAAAATGGATGTATCACTTTTCCTGCCTGTTGAGTCACCACGATGAACGATGTTACTAATTCAAGGAAAAGCAGAGAACAGAACAGTGTTGATATGTGCCAAGGAATGTATGGCTTTTGATCCAGAGTCCAGGATATAGAGGTGATGAATGGGTGAAAACAGAAGCTTCTATCCCTATTTAAATTTAATTCCACCCTTAAATTGAAAGTGGATTCCCAGAAATTTCCTTCTGCTATTTCTGTGTCTGAGTGTGGGATCCAGATCAAACTTTCTCTCAAGGCACACGATAATTATTCATCCTTACCATAGAGCTCTCACCCTCTCCCCGCCCCAATGTCAATATACTTCTTAGATCTTGGCCGCAAAACTTAAAAGCCTTTTCAGGTCAGATTGCATTAAAATACATTTTTTGCCAAGTTAAACATTTTAACACCTATTGCCTTTCATGATGTTTTGACCCAATTAAAAATCAAATTGTCTCTATGTATTTTTTATATAGAGAGACCACACCCTCTGTCTCCTTTTCCCTACCCTCCTTTCCCTGTGCAGATTGAGCCCTTTTGTGGTCAAAAGGCATTGCACTACGTAGTGATAAAATAAATCACAGAACGTAGCCTGGTTAATAAAGATTTAGACAAATTTGAAATGTTTCTATCGCAAAATGTTCTAGAGAAATCTGTAGATAATGCCCGTCACTCAAGCCTCCTTTGGGATTGCTTGGGGATTGTAGTTTGAGAGCTGTAGAGGAGAGATTTGAGGTGAGTGGTTGCACACTTTTTTTTGAAAATATATATTTAGTACAACAGAAATCCAAAACAAACACGACATCTTCTGTTACAATTTTTCCCTTTTCTCCCGATACAAAAAACATTCCATTGTTTACGGTACATTCCTTCCCCGCCCACAAGTTGTGCACAGGCTTTTTGGGACGCTCCCTTTAAAACAGTTCGGAGTCGCTCCTGTGTGCACTACATCCATGTGCGTCTCCCTCGCCCCCTGTCCCCCCCCCGAACACCCTGATAAGGCGCGCTTTACGCTTTCAGAAGCCAACCCGATGTGCACCGTACACACACGCATTTACATACATACATGTTCGGGCCACTCTTTGGTTACATCTCGAGCTCCTTCTGTGCCCTCACGTTTATTTCAGTCGGTTTTGGGTGCATCGAGGGGCACCCGGTGGGTGAGCCCCGAGAGGTTTGTGCAAGTGCATCGACCATCACTAGAGTTGTCACTAGGTTTACCTGCCCCATCGGATCTGAGGTGCTCATAATGGTACCTTGTGCCACTTAATGTGCCTGAACAACAGTAGAAGTGCCTTTCATGCAGGAGAGCATCTCAAAGCACTTTACAAAGACTAAGGAGTATGTGAAGTGTATAAACCCATGCCCAATTGAGCTGCTGTCTTGGAGCATCCTAAAGTATTCCATCCCTGTGAAGCGCTCTGGTACACTACCCCATGTGAAGGGCGCTATATTAATGCAAGTTGTTGTTATTATTGTAAAGTATTGTTCTGTGTTTATTTTTACACCTCCATTTAAAATGTAAAATAATAATAATCCTTGCATTTGATACAGCACCTTATCACGTCTTTGAGACGTCTCAAAGCCCTTCACAGGATATACTGTAAAGTGAATTGACTGTATATTTCACGGGCGAAATGCGGCAGCCAATTGTGCACAGCAGGGTCCCCATAATCAGCTGTGGATTGAAGTGATCAATTTATTATTATTTTTTTTCAAGGGATTATTATCGCCGGAAAAGCAATCCACCAATTGACTAACAACCGGGTTCCTACTTACTGCTAGGTAAACAGAGGCCTGTGGAGTAAGCAAACTTGCTGAACGTTTTTCCCTGATGGAAATCAAACCCAGGTCTCTCGCTTGCGAGTGCTCTAACCACTGAGCTACAGAACTCCACTGTCCTCAATAAGGTCCCCCTCTGAGATGTCTCCTTTCAAGACTGAAGAACACAAGCCTGTCCAATCGTAGTCTTATATAAGAGTGTTTAAGACAAGTTTGCGCTTTAATTGGGGGTGGAAACAATAACTCCACATGGATTAATTGATAAGATAATTGGCCGCTTTACATTGAAGTCACCTGCCCATTCTGGGCAAGCTTGCACCGTTCAACAATTGCACCACGCAACACTGCTTCAGTTGTCCCCACCACCCCATTCTGGTATTCTAGGGCCTCTACACGATATTTGTTTCTGTCAGTAAAATATTCAAGGAGTTAGTCAGAAATAATAAAACCCAGCAGCACAATGTGCCTTGAGGCGGCCTCCACACCTGTAGGGAGCTCTCTTTAGTTTCTGATTTCCACGCTGAGGCAGGACTTTTTTTTGTATGAAGATCAAACGCGCTTGCTTCCTTTCAGGTTTTTTTTGAGCAAATGTTTTTGACTTTGCAGGTGCAACTGATCTAAACAATCTGAAGCCACGTTTCAGATTAACACTCACTGGTCTGTTTGCTTCACAGCAAGCAGTGGACCAAAAATTCTGCTTAATATATAAATTCTGCACGAGTTTCAAAGATGTCTACAAAATGTGTGTTGAGAAGTTTATTGCTGCCGAATACCATCAGACCAACGATCTCTTCGGAGCCAAAGTTGTGCACCTCTGTGTGCTGTACAGGAGATTTCCTGGAGGAAACTTCTGCTTTACATTACCAGGTCTCTTGCCAGTAGCTACACGGCGGTTATGTCTAAGGGACTTTCTCCTGATGTGCTGGCCAACAATCCTCCATCTAAAATTGCTCATTAATTTATGGCTGTTTGTGGGACATTACTGTGTACAAGTTGGCTGCCGTGTTCGCCTACAAAATACAATCGTACTAATAGTAAATCCTGTAAAATGTGGTGAAATGTTACATCAAATGCCAAGATTATTATTCATTGAAAGGAGACATAACAGACTATTCCTAAGTCTATGTCTAACACCCTCCTGGTAACTCTGTGTCTCGCCCCCTCTCTATCTGACCTCAAAACCTACCTTTTCCACTGGGCTTATGGACACAAAACCTATCTCTTCCCTCCCTCTTTCTCCCCTTCCCCAGCCTTCTCTGCTTGATATCTGACCACGACACTGCAAAGTGCTCCGAGATCTTATCGTGTGTGACGGATGCTATGTAAATGCAAGTTGTTGTTATTGTATTAGAGTAAGTCTTGCATGCCAGTGTGGTTACCCACTGAATTTTGAAAGTATTAATAATAATAATCCTTGCATTTGATAGAGTGCCAGATCATGTCTTCGAAAAGTCTCAAAGCGTTTCACAGAATATGCTGTAAAGTGAATTGACTGTATATATTGTGGGCGAAACAAGGCAGCTAATTTTGCACAGCAGTGTCTCACGAATAGTCGTGGATAGAGTCACCAATTTTTTTTTCATTTTGCAAATATATTTAGACAAAGGCAGCATGGGCACTGATTTTATGTGGTGCAGCTGGGTGATGCTGGTCACTGCCTATAGATTCCTGTTGATTTCAATGTACTTCAAGTCCCAGATCTTGTGTCAACAGTTGCTTATTCAGCAGCTCCCTGAGATAAAAGGAACAAAGTGTGACTTCAGCTCTATTTACACATGGGAAATAAATTGACTTCACTTCAATGGAATTTGAATGCGCTCATTCAATTCCTAACCTAGTTTTGCACACGTATGCCATGGTTGCCTTGGATAGGGAACAATAAATGATGCTGCAGAGTGAACTAAACCTTGTCCATTTGGATGGAGTATTCTGTCTGTGCGTCATTTAAACCTATTGAGAAGTCAGGATGAATTGCTCCTTATAGAGGCCTTTATATATTGATTTTAATTCTGTTCTCTAAGTAAAGCCCCATGGAGATATAATCAATAGACTTGAATGATTAATGCTTTTTTTTATATATATATATAGGACTGGATCCAAGATCAACGAATGCTGGAGGAAATGACCCGAAAGGTGGCACTTCAGCACCAGGCTCACAGGTAGGCAAGGCTTCCCTACAGTTCAATTCCGACCGAAGGACAGAAAACGTAGCCTTACCCAAACACATGCTTGATTTCTTGCAGTTGTTCCTTCACTTCTGTAAAAGCTGATAATAGATTTCTGGTAGTTGCTGCCAAATTAGCGTCTGGTGTCTGTTCAGTCATTTCTCCGAACTCATGTGAACTTCTCTGTCGCACTAATATCCGAACAAGTTGCTTTGGACATTCTTTCACCTTTGTTTCTTTTAAAAAAAAGCCTTACTGTTGCCGGTACATTTAAAAATAAATGTTGCATTTACGAAAGTGCCCCTGTGAAATTCTGAGACCAATGGTTGTCACCAATGATAACATGCTGCTAAGTAGCTGCTTTCATGGATAAAATCTCCAAACTCTTCACAAAGAACATGAAGGAAGGGAAGGGAAAAATGGTTGCTATTGACCAATTACAGAGTCAAAGAGGCTTTTCAAAGGGTTTGAAGACAGGGAGAGAAGATGAAAGGATTTTGGGACAGTTCTGGAGCTGGAGGAATGGAGGATAGGAAAATAGGGCTGAAAAAGATTTTAATTTAATGCATTTTGGGATACCTAAAACTCAGGCAGTGGGTGCCCATTGGTACCCAGTACACACCTGAGTTATTTAGACAGTGTTTCGAAACATTCTGAAGTACCTTGATTGTGCTTCCCTCGTGGAGGTTAGGCTGGCTCTGATATTGGCCGCAGTATAATAACTCACTGTAAAATGGAATACCAGTGTGAAGATCCATTTTAGAAGCTAATCTGCCAAACTCACCAAAAATATGCAAAATATACCTCCACTTCACCCTCTCCACACATGGAGCATGAAAGATGCGAACAGCTCTCATTATAACTGCAATACCTCCAATATTCCTGTGCCACAATTTTCAGATCAAGAGCCTCACCCTCAGTGTAGCTGGAAGGAAGACAAGTGCAATTGTCCAGCAGAGAGCAGGGAATGTGAATACTTGATTCAGTAGATGGCTCCAGTGAGCAACCATCAGCACAGACACATTGGACACACTCTCTTTTTGTGCTGAAAACTGCGATGACACTAAGGCACGGTCTTTGCTGAGATTGGTCTGAATCATAGAGAGTATTGACAACAAAAATGGTCTAAATCTGATTGTATAAACCTGGTGTAATCCACAATGATAATGCTTTGTACTGGGAACTTCTTTACCTTGAGCTACTTTCTCAGCTTCTCTTGCAAGTCTTAAATGGGTTCCAATGGAACATTTGTTTTTGTGACTTTAAATGTATTGTTAAATGTAACCTGCCCAAATTTAGGGTGTATAAATACATTGATTTGCTCCTTTCTGCTGTTCTCTGCACAGTGGGATGCCACCTGCAAAGGCGGAGTTGCTGTACATAAAGCAAGTGGAACAGCTCGAAGGCTTTGGACAGGAAAGCTTTCCTGCTAAGGTACATCAGGATCAGTGGCGTACCACAGAAATGTACCATCTTGTAAATTAAGTTTAGAAATTCATAGATAGGAACTGAGTCAGCGTTGAAAAATAAACTCCATATTTCTCGTAAGACTTTATCCTGTTACAGACGAACTAAATTGCAGGAAAAATTAAAGCACATTGGAGATGTATTTTTTTATGGTGAGGTGGGGAATTGGCTTGGCTTCCTGTTGTGTATGACATTCTCTTGTTTTTCATGGAGAAGTTTGATTTTAGTTTTGAAATGACAAGCTTTAACAATAATCTATGATTTGTGTGACAGTCTGGCTCAGTTGGTAGCACTCTCGCCTTTGAGTCAGAGGTTATGGGTTCAAGCCCCACGTCAGGACTTGGAACTCGTGTAGTCTATTCTAACACATTCCACTCCACATGTGATGTGAGCCCAGATAATGGATGCTGTGAGTGGAGGGTAATTTCATAGCAGAGCCTGGTCCTGATTTATCCCGATGTTCACACACACACACACACACACACACACACTTTCCAGCAGGGTTCACTACATAGGAGCAAGAGCCCAGGTTGACTTCTCTCTTCCGTGGCCCAAGGCCAGTTGTATATAACCCGTCTGAGTTCAGCTTGCAGCACCTTCCTGTAAACTACATTGAGCTTCCAGTGCGAGTGACAGAACCTGACACGGGGATACTCACTCTCTGTATGTGCAGCGCCAGGAAGTGATGTCAGTGGCCACCCGGTGGCCTTGAAGTCAACCATTTTTCACGCACCAACCATCTGACTGTGCACATGAGTAGTGAATTAGATTCTGGGCTCCATTCACGCGAAAAACACTCTTCTGTTATAACAAGGTGCATTATAGTAGGGCTCTATTGTATTTGGAAGTTGACTTGGCCGCTTCTCAGTTGACATTTAAAGTCTTAGCATCTATTTTAAGCAAAGAATAAATGTATTTCTTAATAAAGTATGATAACAGCAGTACAATACTCACTTTAGACTTGGACTATCACGAAAACACAACTTGGTGTTATTGTTTAGCTTGTTACAGCAATTGTTGTTAAAATAACAGAACTGGGGGGAGGGGGGACATTGAACATTGGTTACTGTGCTCCAGACAGCGCTTAAGCAAGCAGGCTGTTCTGGTGAGCTCACACATTGTATAGTCTGCATACTTTAGTTGTAGACACAGCATTGCTGCAAGGATCCATAAACAGCTTTGCCCAGTTAACATATCCATTTCAGATTTTTTTCTGTAGTTTTCCAACTTTTTAACACTTAAACTGCATTTTTTAAATTTTAAAAAGTGTTATAATATTCCTAAAAGGTTGTAGTTTTTTTTAAAGATCTAAGCCCTCGCTTACAAACATCACCACCCAAATAGCTAGCCTCATATGGTTGACGTGCGTGTGTACTTTTTAAAAACTGCGAAACTCCACACTTTCTTTTGAGTGATGTGTGTGTGTGTGTGGTGGGGGTGGGGGGGCGAGGGGAGGGGGGAAGAGGGGGTGGAGGGATGAATTGATTTAAATTTTGAAGTCACAGGTTTTAAAAGTAATCTATGCTTTGTGTGTCAGTCTCACTCTCACCTTTGGGCAAGAAGGTTGTGGATTGTAGCCACATGTCGCGCGTATAGTTTATTTTGACGCTTGGTTGCGGTGTTTGGGGTTTGCTGCATTGTTTGAGGTGCCCGTTCAGATGGACGTTAAAGATTCAATGGCTCTATCTGAAAAGAGGAGGAAGTTTCTCCCACTGTCTTAGCCAGCAATCCCCCAAATAAAATTGGTCATTCACTTCATGGCTGTTTGTTGCACATTGTCTTGCGGAAATTGGCTGCCACGTTAGTCCACAAAGGTTACAGTCACTCCACTTTACATTATATCCTGTGAAGCACTTTGGGACGTCCTCCCAATGCGGAAGGTACTATATTAAATTGAAGGATTATTATTATCCCAGGGCCTCCATGATCCAAAGATCCCACGATATTATGTGGAAAGAGATACCAGCTTCTCCTGGTCTCCTAACCAACAAACCTCCAGATAAATTGGTAATTTGTGTCGTGGTTGTTTTGTGATGCCTTGCTGCGCACAAAAATACCTGCCACGTTTGCCTACGAAAACAGCCATTACATTCCACAGCAATTCCTGTGAAGTTCCTTGCAGTCTTTCAAAGTGACAAGGCACTATAAAAAATCACATTTATTCTTTCTGCATTTTATTTGTGGGTTAATTGAGTAGGCCAGTTTGTGCCATGTGGAAGAGAGCCCAACTTATAGTCCAGCTCTGAGAGCTGAATTTGAGGAGCTGAGGCATTTGCATGTGAAGGATATCAGTTAAACATGTAAACTCTTCCTCTCTTCACGCAGCTCGCTCACATATGTTTTCATTGTCAAATTAAGCTCTCCCACCCACCCCAACATGGAATCAAATTCATGTAAAATTACCCAAGCTCTGTTGTTTTAAACACCTTTAAGAGCTTTTAAATATTTCAGATTCTTGGCTCTTCCTCCCCCTGCCTGACTTGTTCCAGGCTGAAACACTGCCATCCACAAAGTGCAACTACAATAGAATACCACGCCTGCCGTGGGCAGCTTCAGACCTAACTATTTTGTCAAAGTTGTGGAAGGCCAGTTGACACTGTGCTATCCACTCTGCTCTAGACTGGATTTTAACTGGTTCGCCCTCATTTACTATTTAATAATCATTATTAGCCATAATAATTCTTGTACTTGATGGGGTGCCTACAATATTGAAATGTACAGTAATAAACGTAAAGAATAGTGATTGTGCACTTGTAGGCAATTGAGGCAGTGAATTTGCACACAGAAATGCTCAACAGATAGCCAGGAGGTGATTGATCAATTTATCTGGAAGATTGTTGGCCAGGACACTCGAGAAACTCCCTTTTCTTTTTCAATACTGCCAAGGTTCCTTATAATGTCCTCTTGAACAAGCAGATGGGACGTTGGCTTCACATCTCAACTGAAGGACAATGTTCTGATAATGCAGAGCTTCCCCCAACGTGGCACAGTTTTATCAACGGTGTGGTTGCACCTCACACTTTTCAGTCTAAAAATGTGCTGTTTGGAATTGTTTAGCAAAGATCACCATTTTTCAGGTGATATGTTAAATGTTTATGTAGAATCCTAATGGTTGTAAAATTTGATCTGGTCATTCCTTTGGTGCTCCCCAAGCAAGACATGGATGATATGGGATCCCAGGCTTCCAAACTTGTATGCGCAGTACAAATATTTATCCATTTAGTTGTGTGTGTTTAGCGAAATTGCCTTTGATGTTTTATTTCAAGGAAGCCGTTTTCCGCTAACTTTGTCTAAAATCTGCAGAGTTTAAATGTGCGTTACTTTAATCCTCGAGGTCACACCTTTTAAAAAATATTTTTTAAAAACAAGGGAAAAAATGCACAAATGCTGTACTATGAGCATAGCTGACTTTGAGAAAGATCCTTTTTTTAATATCAGCACTGTCGCCTACCTTTGGAGAAATCACTCCCATTGTGATTGAAAGATTAAGCGCCAGTGCTTAAGTAATTTCAAAAAGTTAAGTACTTCTTTTCAAGAGTTAAGTGCCTCCCAGCAGCCTTTCCATTAGGAATTTTGAAAAGTTAAGTGCTACTGCTCAGGTATTAGCCACAAGTTTCATGAATGACGTTCAAGCTGCTCTGCCCCACAGTAGCTGTTTGCAACAATCATCATTTTCAACAGTCCTTAGCCATTGATAATTATATTACGAAAATGACTGTCAAATTCATGCCGTTAATATCTAAATGTATTATTCCAACGTTCAGCTAATAAACGCAGTGCTGTTGAGCTTACCGACTGCTGTGATGGCTGCTCTGTTGCATTTATTCTTTAATAAAAGAGTCTGCCCTAGTTTTACAAAAAGCCACACAAATCCCAGTATTTTGCAGGTTATTCCAAGTAAACGAAATGCAGCGGATGGTTACCAAACGTTAAAAATACATTCCACATTACTTGATTATGATTTCTTCAGAAAAAATGACGATTTCAAAAGGACGAGTGCAATAATGGAGGATTTTTTTTCAATTCTAATAGCAGTTTTTCAGAGGACAGATTCTCGAGTGGGGAAGGTTAGATGTACGGTTGGTGTAACCTCTTACCTGTTGACATTTGCATAGGGCAATTCTAAATTTCTCTGTAAATTTTAAAGTTTATTCTCTTTCAACAGGATAATCTCGGAAGTGATGTTTTTATTGGTGTTTCCTTTGTGGGAATCTTTGTAAAGCATAGGGATGGACGGCCAACTGTAACATTCAGGTATATGTCAAAGACTTGCTTTTGTCCATTGTCCATTGCGAAAGTCCATTATCTTTTTCTACGAGAGTGCGTTCTCTTCTCACTTTCTTTGCTTCTCACCTCGTCGTATTCTACCTTTTAAACCTACAGGTGGAACGACGTTGGAAATATCACACACAATAAGTCTTCGATTAATGCAGAGTTAACAAACAAAGAAGAAACCGTTCCTTTTCACACTGTAAGTACGAAAAGTACAACTAAAACATGTCAGCCTGGCTCAGATCTTAGCTCTCTCGCCTTGGCTCAGAAGGTTATGGATTTGAACTCCGCGTCGGGACTTTGAGCTCACAGTCAAGACTGATACTCTTGGTGCTGGGGAATGCTGTATCGTTGGAGATTCCTTCCTTTGGATGAGATGTTAAACCGATGTCCCATCTGCCGATCAGGTGGACTTTAAAAAAAATACAAAATACTGCAGATGCTGGAAATCTGAAAACAGAAACAGACGTCACTGGGAAATCTCAGCAGGTCAGGCAGCATCTATAGAGAAAGGAAAGTGAGTCAGTGTTTCGGGTCCATGACCCTTTGTCAGAACGGCGAAGGGTTTCGTTCTAACGAAGGGTCGTGGACCCGAAACACTGACTCACTTTCCTTTCTCCATAGGTGCTGCCTGACCTGCTGAGTATTCCCAGCCACTTCTGTTTTTGTTTTTAGGTGGACTTCAGAGATCTCATGACACTATTTGGAAAGCGAGAAGGAAGTTTCTCCCAGTATGTCGATCAGCTATCTTCCAGATAAAATTAATCATTTACTCTATGGCTCTTTGTGGGACATTGCCATGTTCAAATTGGCCTTCAAATACAAGAAAAACAAATTTGTAATGTATTGTACATTTGTACAGCGCCTTTCAGGAGGACATCCCAAATAGAGTTAAATACACTACAGTTATTTCAATAAATGAAGTACTTTGACACATTTTTATGATATAAGATATTAATTGAAAGTATAATTATTTTGGGCTAAAATTTGGATAGCGGTAAGAATTCATTAACCTTAAGTGACAGCATTCTTTGACTTTTTCTTGATACAAAATGCTGCTAGTTGTAGACATTTCTAACGATTATATATTCTCCATTTCTACACCCAGGATGACATGGAAATGGCAAAATATATCTCCAGATTGTTCACTGCAAGACATAAATTTTATAAACAGAATAAAATCGGCACTGAGTGAGTATTCTGAAGCTGTTGCTTTTATAGGCACTTTATTTCAATAGCAGTTGAGGTCAGGGCATTGGATTATTTTAAGAAACCACTTGATGCTACGATGGGCTGTAAGGGGTATTCTGGAAAGATGTGATCAAATAGTCAAAACTGAACTGCTCTGTGATCTGCAACTATCTTCTACGTGACTTGACACCTGTGGGTGCTGTTTGTTAGCATTCACAACTGCAACCCCAGCTCACCATTTAACTGAATATTGTTAAAATGACACAATTGCTGAATTTGGAGCCAATTGCTTCATCTTCCTCCCACTATCCAGCTCAATAAACCCTCCAGCCTAGAACTTTGTACTAAAAGTGCAGAGGCATTTACAACAACTTGCATTTACTTGGTGCCTTTCATGCAGATAGCGTCCTGTAGCGCTTAACAGTGCCAGAACGTGAGAATGAATTGGGGAGAGAGGGGAGGTGACTATAGCTAGGGCTAAGAGGAAAGTCTTCATATGCGATTTGAAGCTGGGCAAGGAGCACGGTGGAGGGATTGAGGTAGAGAGTTCCAGAGTTTCGGGGCACAGTGGCTGAAAACGTAACTGCCGATAGTGGAGCGGAGGGGACGAGGGAGGTGCAATGGGCTGGAGTCAGCTGAGCAAGGGGGTGGGTAGTGGAGCAAGGTGTAAGCAGGTCGGAGAGGTGGAGAGGACCTGGGTGAGAGCTTATTTAGACTCCATACCAATAGTGAGTATCTGTGTCTGTGTGTGTCTCAGTAAGAACCCACATGGGGCACATTTAATCAGAAAGTATTTTTACTTTTAGTTCTGAATCTAACGCTCAATACACTGTTAAGAAGAAATTTCCCTTTCTCCCTGGCTATATGTAAGCATTCCTTCCACATTCCTAACTCCCCCTTTGTTTAACTGGTCTTTTTGTGATCATTCCTAACACCTCTAACAGCACGCTTTCTTTGAGGCTTGGCTATTCATAGACAAATCCTGAAAGTTTATTATAATAATAATAATCCTTGCATTGGATATAGCACCTTATCAGGTCATTGAGATGACTCAAAGCACTTCACAGATACTATAATGTAAATTGACTGTATATTTTGTGATTATTATTATTGTTCTTATTGTCTCTGTCTGATTGTGATTTTTAATGCCATTTGGAGAGCAGTTTATGTTTTCAGATATGTCTCTGGTAGGTGCAGTCTGCTTTTGCTATTTTACCTCTTATACGGTTTTGGTTTAGCATTGAAACCCTGTTATCCCCTAGATCAAACAACTCGCTATTCTCCAGGGACATTTCACCAAACACCTCTGATTTTCAGTTCATACTGCTAGCACATTTATAACATTAAAAGATTTACAAATTAAATTTATAACTATCTACACTAGCGCCTCCTGGTACCTGGGACAAGGACCACTTCTGACAGTTTAAAGCACATCTGTAGTTCATCAGTCATTGAAGGAAGTGATTCATTGTAAATAAATATTGTTGGAGATGCAAGCTCAATCAGCAGCTGTTTTCAATGGAATGACTTGTGGAAATTTGCAAATGTGTGGGATATACTTATATTCAAGTGCCAGAAGTGGTTGTGGTTAAATCAGATGTTAACATGTTATCCCTCATTTCCCGCCCTGCTCTTTAGGAAAATCCAGAGTTTTTTTTAAAAACAATATTTATACATGCATCCATTTTATATTTTCTTTCTATTTTCGACTCCATCTTGCAGTCTTTCCTTCACCTCATTCAAGGTCCATCTCAAGACTTACTTCTTTGACTGCGCTTTCGGTCATCTTTCTTCCCCAGTTCAAGTGCGAAGACATTATTGTTAAGCACCTTGGGACGTCCTCCTGAAGTGAAATACATTATACAAATATGAATTTGTATTGTATACACTCTTTATCTTGAAATCCCCTTTTTACAATTGATGGATATAATTAAGGTTTTGGTGAAGTTTTTGCTTAAAGAACTTACCAATTTTCACTTGGTAATTTCCCCCACTTTTTGAGCTGTTTCTTGTCAGTTCTGCTCCCCACAGATAGCACTGCCAAGAGTAATTCAAACATGTTCACTCTTGAAAATCTCAAAAGCAAATGTCAATCAAACTGGTCTCCTAGACTTTTATTCCTGATGTTGCGATATATCTGGGCAATATTTTACAACTCTAGTGTAACACAAGTTAACATGGTTAGGTTACATACACCATCAGACCGTTTTGTGAATCTAGCCCTGCATGTTAACAGCTTATGTTTGTGTCTTTATTGATATGAGTGATGGTGAATAAAGGCAATAACAAAATGATGGCCCTTCCTTGGGATACTGAGTCTCGTTTGCTATTTCTTAATCTGATCACCTTTCAACAATGGAAGCGTAGTGAAAATATAATTCTCTAATGAAAAATAACGAGCATTTCTTTCTGAAGAATTTAGATGTATGTGATCCTAAAAATAGACAAGATTTGTATTTGTCACTGTTTAAAAAAGATTTTATTCACAATGTTGCATACATAGATTCTTTAGATCTCCTTTCCAGCAATAACTACAAAGTTTATCACGAGGAAATGACTTGTGAGTGGTGTTGATTTGAAAAATGGTTGTTTTTGCCTGAAGAGGATGTGTTGTTGATTAAAAATGTGTTACTGTTTTGCACTGAGACAACAACAATATACTGATGCATGGTTCTCTGCACATAAGTGTATTTAATGCATTAGCTGCTTTGTCGGGTTTTAATGGTTGCATGACAAAGTTGCTTGTTTGGGAACTTTTGTATGAATGTCCTGAAAAGAGATGGATGAATTATGTTGAGCATATTTCTTGAGCATGCAGTCTGGGGCCTGATATTTCTCGTGGTCTTGGATACGAGACTATTTCCTTCAAAAGTTAAGATTGTTTAGACTTTTGGAAAGTTCTTAAATTTAACCATAACATAGAAACTGTTTCTTCCTACAAATCCTTTAGGTTGTTCTGTAAAATCGACTTCCAAATTATTGGTCTTAATGTTAAGACCATGAGATATTTCAGGCCTCGGAACATATCGGTGAAGAAAGACTCTTTTTCTCCAGATCTAGAATGTGTAGCTTTGGGCTCTGAAATTTAGTAGAGAAGAACCTGGTTATAATGTGCTTTGTTATAATATGGCTTCTCTTGTTGGGATGTGGACCCTGATAGTTACTTACCCCAAAAATCCACAGATCGGCTCATTACAAATCATGATGTCTCACGGCCAGACAGGGAAGCACTGATTGGTGATTGTGCCCTGATTCAAGGCTGGTTGGAATTTGATCCCCAAGTTGGATCGGGCACTACTGTAGTATTTTTAAAAAAAAAAAAGTCTTGTGTTCTCACAGGCAGATCAATTATACAAGCTACATTCCATCTCTGTTAAAAGATGTCCAGCATTGCAGTTGCTTATTTGGTTGAGTGTCCATCGAACATCTAATCTTTAACTGTATTTTCTGACAGACCAATGCAGTCATGCTCCCCAACACCGATCAGAAGACGACCCACATGGAGCAGATCATCTCTGGTATGCGTATGTGATCAGCAGGGCTTTAGGCATTGCACAGCACAATTATACAGAAGCAAAGCGTTTAATTAAAGCATTGACACCAGCAACTTTAGAGCAACCTAAATTGACGTATACTTCTATTGTTAATTGTTGGAAAACGCTTAACACCTTGTTGTGTTTAATCCTAATTAAAAATGCAACTTGCTGATGCTTCTTAGCGTTAGTCTGAGACAACGTGAGTACTACCAAATTACAGATAATATGTTCTTGCATCTATTGTCCTGTAGCTGGAGATGTCTGCAAGTTGTTTCCTTGCATAGAATGAAATGATAAAGCAGTATACAAATAGAAATTTCGCTAATCATATGCAACAGACTGGGTTTTATGTATCGCCTCGCCCCTCTGCCCATTTTTGGTTGGATTTTCAGTTATTTTCTTTAACTGGAGAACAAAGGTGGTATTCAGGTTTCAAACAAAACCGTTTTAATTCATAATCCTCACCAGCTCATGGGAAACTGGCATTAACAGTATAACAGTGGAGCACCTAATGAAATACTCTGCACAAGAACATTTCCATATTTGGAACAATTAACAAAATAACAAATTATATCTGTATAGCGCCTTTCACATCAGGAGGATGTCCCAAGCGCTGTCAAAGAGGAGGGTCTTGAGATGGATCTTGAAGGAGGCGAGGGAGGGGTCGAGGTGGAGGGACTGTGGAATGCAGTTCCAGAGGGTGCAGCACACAACATTTAGCATAAAAATGCCCTGATGTCTGAATAGCCTTACTGTTGTATTAATTTTCAGTGTGATGGTGAATGAACCTGTGAGCATTGCCTTGATATCTTGGTCTAAAAAGTATTATTTAGTTGGAATTTAGCATCTTGGTTATTCCTCTAAAATCTCATGAGCCAAAATATACAGAATTTGTCATCTCACAGAAACCCAATTCTCTCAGATAGTCTTAAGATTTTAAAAAAAGTTCTGATAGTGTGATATTAATAGAATTACTGTTTAATAAAATACACTATTTAAATTCTCACATAGTGTTCTACCTTCATTAATTCTTTTAAAAGGGAATTAGATACTTGAAAAAGGAGAATATTAAATGGTATGGGAGTACCGAGTAACAAGGTAACTGAGCTCATAGTCTAGGCTGACCCTCAGAGGTTCAGTCCTTTGAATGGGATGCTTAACTTGAGTTCTCGACTGACTGACCAGGGATGTTTAAAGAGAAAGAAGTTTCTCCTGACCAGCTCTGGATAAAATTTTTCATTTATTTCATAGCTGTTTGCTAGACATAACTGTGTATTTGAAGGCAAACATGGCAGCCAATTTGCACACAGCAATGTCTAGCAAACATCCATGACAAATAAATGACAAATTTTATAGCAATCCTTGCATTTGGTATCGCACCTACAATATCACAGAAACTTTGCAGCATTTTGAGACGTTTGCGATATTGTAGGTGCTATACCAAATGTAAGGATTACTATTTCAAGATCTCTTGCTTATGCACATGTAATAATATGAATGTGAGTGCTTCAATGTGCATTGTGCTGTTTAACATACTCAAATCTTTTCCATTCCTTATTTTTAGCCAAGGCAACAGTCGTTTATATTACCGCCAATGCACATCCAGTATGGAGAACATTACACTGAAACACATACATCACAAGGTATTTACCATCTACACTTAGGTAAACATTTGTGTGCCATTGACAGTGTTTTATTGAGCTTTGAAGAAACCAAATTGGTTATTGTGTTGTGTTGTACCAGTATTAGGTTAGTTTCAATCGGAAACATTGGAGGAATCTAACATTTCCCTCCACTTATTGCTATTAAACCATCAACACTTATTCCATGCAACCTCCAAGGGTGTTTTGTGTTTGATATAAAATCAGAAGCAGGCTGTTCCTCAAGATGAGTAAATTATGTCCCTCCTTAGCGCTGGTCAGATACTGGTTTGTGTTCAGGCACGGATGGCTGAATTTCGAGCTCAGAAGGGACAATGCCATTGTATATCAAGTTCAACTGGTTTGAAATGGGTTAACGAACCTCCATACCCACTGTAGCACAATTGTGGAAGAAAAGGACAAGTTAAATGAGGTCTCAGATGCAGGTGCATTGATAATCTAATGAGATTATGTAACTAATGTATCAAGCTAGCTCTTTTACCGCTCTCTGAGTCGGGAGAGTATTCTTTTTCAAACCATATGTTGAACCACATAACGTAGAACATTTCTATAATTTACTGGGACTGTTTGGGGGCATGTGCAGCAGAGAGGAAGGAGAACATTCTATTGTGGCCTGTGGCTTGTGATTATAGAAAGCTGCCCCCACTGGAGTTATTCCCTTTCATTGCAGATTGACGATTTATCCTGTAACCTTTGAACTATTGTAAGTTTAAATTGCTCTCCTATAGTAATTCAGGCTATTGCATTCTTTTGTTTCATACAGATAGTATTTACCATGGAAACGAAGAGGGCTTCTACTGCAGATCTCAGACTAGCCTAGACAGATGTCCAATGGATCTCAATTACATGAATGGAACTGTGCCAAATGGCAGTGTGTACAGTGCTCATAGCATGAACTCCTTGAATCATTCACAAAACTTCATCCAGGCATCTCCCATGTCCTCTAACCTCAGCATCCCTGGAAGTGACATCATGCGTGCAGATTACATCCCCAGCCACAGGCACAGTGCTATCATTGTGCCCTCCTATAGGCCCACACCTGACTATGAGACTGTAATGAGGCAAATGAAGCGAGGCATCATTCATATGGACGATCAAAGCCAGTCATTGAGAAACCTTAATATTGGGAACACCCATGCATACAACCAGCCGGAAGCTATGGTTTACAGCCAGCCTGAGATCAGGGAGCGGTGCCAGTACCCCTCTCACTACGGGTCAAAGCGCAGTTACAGCAAACCTGCTCCTGCTTCCACTCAACTGAATGCCAGCAATCCTGCAGCCAACAGGGCGGCAAATAGCGCAATCTCACACACTGTAAGCACACCCGAGCTTGCCAACATGCAGTTGCAGGGCAATCCCAACTACAGCACCACTCACATGCTGCGGAACCACTTTTGTAGGCCGCCCCCTCCGTACCCCCGCCCGCGGCCTGCCACCAGCACCCCGGACCTTGCCAGCCATCGCCACAAGTACGTCAGCGGCAGCAGCCCTGACCTGGTCAGCCGGAGGGTCCAGCTCTCGGTGAAGACATTCCAGGAGGACAGCTCCCCCGTGGTGCACCAGTCCCTGCAGGAGGTCAGTGAGCCTCTCACAACGGCCAAGCATCACGCGGCTGTCAACAAGCGCCACAGCCTGGAGGTGATCAGCAATATGGTGCGTGGGATGGAGGCCATGACATTGAAGAGCTTGTGTGCTTCGGTCCCCCAGCGCAGGAACACCATGCGCGATCATCGGCGTCAGGAGGAGCAGGTCCACAAGGTCCAAGAGGTTCAGCAGCAGCCGGCGTATCACCACAAGAAGACCCTGTCCGACGCGACCATGCTGATTCACAGCAGCGAGAGCGAGGAGGACGAGGACACCCCCGATTATGACGTTCAGATACCGACGTTTAACGACAACATGGACTATAGTGCCCAGCTGCAGGCAGCATTGGCAAAAATACCAAACAAGCCGCCTCCTGAATACCCAGGAAGCAAAAAGAGCATGAGCAACGGGGCCCTGAGACAGGAGCAACCTAAAATGATGCCGTATATTGCCAGGGTCAAACTGCCAACGCCAGAGCTGGATACCTTCTCTCGAAATGAACAAATAGCTCTTAATGGGCCATCGCTGGGGCCGTCCTTGTCCGAGCCTGACCTGACCAGCGTGAAAGAGCGAGTCAGAAAGGAGCCAGTCAAAGAGAGACCCGTGTCTGAACTCTTTTTTGTAGAAGACAGCATCGTGGAAAGGGAGATCCTTTTGAGGGTAAGTGTATTGTGGCTTTTTACCTCATTGGCGTGCACTTGTGAACATGGCAATCGTGTGTACTGAAGTAACATACATGCATATTTTTTTAAAAAGCAGCTAAACCTATAAGGCGATTAAAAGTGTTTTATCTTATATTAACATTTGTAGCCGAAGCATTGACTGTGTTTTGAGGATATTTGTATTTTAAAAAAACACATTTTGTTGGATAGAAACATTTCATTGAAATTGCAGCTGTGTTTGTGGAAGTATTGGGGTTTCAATGTCCGCTGACCGCTAAAATAATAAACTTTTCCACTTTGTTTATGTCATGGGGAATCCTGTTATAGAGACAGAGCAAAAGGATAGCTATTTTAATAAACAGGGAGTGTTAGCATGAAACAGTTACATTATAATTGCATTAAAAATTAGTCTAGTGTTTTATCAAACACATTCAGAAAACAATCTTACTGTGGGGTGAACCAAAGATGTAACATTAAAGTCTGCAGGTCTGTTCTCCTGATATGGAAGTTAAGTATGTAAAGTTCCAGTTAAAATTGGTTCCGTTACAACATCCAGATTTTGAAGATCTTTGGCAAGGATAGGCCAAGGAAATGCAGCATCCCTTGTGCATTTGAGGCCCAGAGAAGGTGTAAGTAACTATTGGTGTAATAGACTCTCTCGGGTTACTAGCTGAGGCTTTAGATTATTTAATATGGAATTTACACTGGAATGGGTGGACTTTTATACTGGAATGGGTGCCTTTGGTCACCTTCCTCCCCCTCCCCCTAGCTCGGCGCCGGGATCTGTCACTGTAAAGCGCTCTGAGACGCCGGACGGCGTGGAGGGCGCTATATAAATCCAAGTTGCTGCTGTTGTTGACAGGTTCACAGCTGATGCATTATTTAAAACATCACTGCTGTGTCGTACATCATACATCTTTAAGTCCCCGTTGGGCAGAAAGATGATTTCTGGTCCAATTTTAACGTTGAACAAAGCCTATTTCATGTTTTTTTAAAAAAAAATCCTCTTTGATCCCTTCTGCTTTCATTACTCCCTTAGCTGGAAACTTGGGTGAGCCCAGGGCACATATTCCTGTATGGTTATTAATACCTGCCCAGTTCCCAATATAATCACATGTTTCAGGCCAACAGGAACTCATTTCTAAAGGTATGGACGAGAGTTAATTTCCCCCGTCCGCTCACAGTAGCGAATCTACACGGTTTAGTGAGCAGATTACAGTTCAGTCACCACTTGGATTTAATTAACTGAATACTTTTTGTAGATTTTCTGCTTTTAGATTTTTTCCTCTCCTTTGACTGCACTGACGGTCCTTCAGTGTGAGAAATAGCAACTGAGACCCCACGCTTGGAGAATAGCGCAACACAGTAATGGCTGAGATTCAAAAGAATGTCATCATCATTAGCTGCTACACTTAATGACTTGGCAGAGTCCTAAAATTCTCTCTCTCATTCAAAGACTCCTTGAGTTTGTTCAACCAGTAACTGAGACAAATCGATTGGGAAAGTTGTGGATTCAATACCTGGTCTGTGCTGATTTTACTAATCACAGCTGCAGGCAGATGGCAGGGGTGGGCGTGTGAGGGGTGGGTGGGATGAAGAGAAATCAGTCCTTCAGATTAGACAGAGTTGGAGTTCCTGGTTGCTATTCAAGAACCACTGGCATCCAGCTCTTGCGGAATCTGTGGTCAGGGCAAGAATAAGTAGTCCTCAGTCAAGTAGGCAGAAGCAAGGGATGCAGCCCAGCTGCCCAGCTTCTTTCTCAGTCAGAAACCGTGGAAGAGGGGAAAATAACACCCGTTACCCATTCAAATAAGTTGGGTATTCCCATTTCTCAAAATTTGAAACAAAGTGTATTTTTTGTGGTTGGTTTTATTTCAGATTTCCAGCATCTGCAGTATTTTGCCTTCAATTTTGTTTTGTTTTTAACGCAAGGTGTTTCTCCCATCCCTCTCCTGCTTTACTCATATGTTATTGTATTTAATTTTTTCTAATTTTTCCTGTGAGTTCCTATTCTCATGTGGCCTTCCTTACCGTTGGCCTTTGTTGTTCCCGACTGCTTTATTTGAAATCCGAAGAATGCAGTGTTCCTTAAGAAGTTAACATTTCGAATCACAGACAGTTCAAGCACCATAGAAGCCCATTCCATCCACTGTGCCTGTGACACGATATGGGAATGGAGTCATGAAATATGTGCTGGGATCTCTCCAATTCTATTTTAGTTCTATTTTTCATGTTAGGTGTCGTGTCCATCCCCAAGAAAAAAAAATCCTAAAAAGAGTCTTTAAGAATTGAGCTGACTGAGCTAGATCATCAAACCAGCTAAGGCTAAGTCTGCCCAGTTTGGCATTTGTTTTGTCCCTATTCCTGCCTCATTTGTGGAGAAAATGTGGAAGCAGGATGACTTGGCAGGGAAAAGGCTGGCTTTTGGCAGTTTGTAAGTAGCTCAGTGTTGATGGGGAAACCATGCGATCGATGCTTGTATAAACTGGTCGAAATCCACAGATAAGACAAATGCATATCTCTAATCACCAACTGTGCTCCAATAGATTGCACTAGATTGCAAGCATTTCAGGAATGCCCTTCAAATTTGACATGTAATGTGATGTGTGTAACGTGTCTCTTCCTGTTAAAAGAATTTAGAGAAGCAAAAACTGGCCACGGCAGAAGCACAGAAGTTTGGGCCACTGAAATGGGCAGCACTCAACGGCCTTTCAATGACGAGAGTCCCAGTGCCCGAGGACTGCCAGGATGACACTTCAAAAATACTGATGGATGAAAGGGTAAGAAAGGACCAGTCGGAACATGTTGAGTGGAATAGGTGCTATATGCATTCATAAACCACTTGCACAATATTTCTTGTGCAACTTTGCTGATAATTAATATATTGCAAATGAAAGAAATGTGAGCTTTGCAGCTGTAAGAGCTGGGTGGATCCAGAGTTTCAATATGTGCATATTGTCCAAAGCAACAGTGAGGCACATATTAGCCTATTGGTTATAGGGCTTACTTACACTGTGCCTTTCAAAACAGTTTTGGGCTTTTTTAGGCACAGTCATTAAAAATAATCGAAAATGGGATGAAACCAAGAAGCTTTTTTTTCTCATCAATCTTTCTTTCGCCTGTGTTAAACCAGCCTATCGAATAATTGATGTGACGTAGTTGGTATTAATGTATTCCAGAATAAACATTTAATGAAATGGGTGAAAATACAAACACAGAAAGAGTGTGGGTGTTTCTAGGAAAATACGCTGAGGAGATTAATATGAAGGAATCAGTTATGTTTTATTTTTAGTTTAGTTGCCCCCGCTCTCTGTTATCAATTTTCTTTCTCTAAGGCTTCTGAAATATTTTCCCACATACAGCTCCCTGGATTGTAGCTATTATTTTTGATAAGACCAATTTGTTAGCAAATGCTGGCTAAGCTCTGGATTTACGGGTACCTCTTGTTCATTGCACTGAGCTATCTGGTGCTTTGCTGTGCAGAGATTTCAAGTATCAAATAAAGTCTAGTCCCTGCCAGTGGATTGCTGTTAAAATAAACCAATACCGGGATCTTGGACAGAAACCTTTCACAACTTAAGTGCTTTGAGACGTCCTCCCGATGTGAAAGGCGCTATATAAATGTAAATTGTATTGGATCTCTCCCAGGACTGACCACTCTTGGGGGAGATCAAAATCCAGAGAAAACCAAACAAAACAAAACACCCTTTGCCAAATTTTGGGGCTTGTTGTTTTCAACCCTGGTGGTGAAGCCGTTGACTCAGGAGTTGTTTCTGCCTACGCTTTCTTTCTTTTAAGAGATTCCTAGCTGGATATTTATCCAGCTAGGAAGCCATCTCCAAAGATGTAACGGTATTAACAGTGTGATATCAGCTGTGATCTCGAGGGCTGTAGATCAATTAACAGTTCTCCGGACCTTGTGACCATTTGTTTTGTGTCACTTGTTTACAGTCCAAGTCTGAGCATGGTTTTCCATTTATGGAGTTGGATGCTCTAGTTCTCATTGCTTGACTGGTGGTGGTGGGAGGGAGGATTGGGGCTAGTTGGAGATTGGTAACTTTCCACCAGTTCCAAATTTCCTCTGTAGCCACCCTTTTATGTATATATTTACAGACCACTTCAGTGTATTTTTTCTCTCAGTTTGTGAAAGGCAAGTAATGTCTAGCAACAAACATTCCAAAAACAAGTGAATGACTTACCTTGGATGTGCCCTGGAAATCGTTTACTTGGGTGAAATTACCAAAGCCCATTGTGTACTGAATAGCTGAGATTCTCGTTTTATCTTTATTGTGAATCCCTATGAAAACATTGGCAAATTAAACCAGTGTTCAAACAGTATCTCGTAGCCTTGAACAAATGTGTTGTTTTTAACTATCTGTTGGATATGTGTTTGCACGAGAGACATGCCAAGCCGAAGCCAAGTCAAATAAGTCCTACTTTGTTTTCCTCCTTTTTCATTCCTTTTTAGGCAGTGTTTCAGAATTGTAACTAGTCGGATCTTTATGCTACGGAACGAATATGTGTCAGCCTATCTGCGGAAAGAATCTCTATATTTTTCTGCCCATCGCCATTCTGGGCTCTCTTGCATTCTCAAATGGAATACATCCAAACCATTCATTTACTGGAGGAAAATAACTGTATTGATAACTACCTCCAATTTCAAAGCACACTGACACGGCTTAGCTCGGCTTTCCTACAGACACAAAGGTTCTGCAGACTATTCTGATGGCAATTGAGTGAGCCTTTTGTTGCTTTAAAGGCTGAGCTGAGTATGTCGACTACGAGATTGTTGCTAGCTGCAGCCAAGCTATTCCAAAGTATTTTGTTGGTCAGTTTCTGATGTTGAACCTTGCAGTGCAGAACGACAGAAATGCACAAATCTATAAAGGACCCTTTCATTGAGCTTCTGCGACAAAACAAAATGTGACCATGCACTTCCTCAGAATGCCAAATGATTGACTGTAGTTCAACCACGCAGAGCATTTTAAACATTTTCTCTAACGTGGAGACCAGGAGCCTCCAGACCCTTCAATGCTGGACATACCAATAGCACAATTAAATAATGGATATTTTATTATTCTTATTTATTGAAGTAAATTGTAGGGCTCAATCTGTCATCCCAGCAAAGATCACCTGGCTGCACAGATTGAGAATTGAACTCAAGACTTTTAGGACTAAATAACTTTCTGCTTTGCAATGAGGGGTATTATTACGTTACTGTTTTTTTTAAATGTAGCAAGATGTAATAATGATATTCCTTGCATTTAATATTGCATCTCACCACACCAATGAGACATCTCAAAGCACATTAACAGTATTTCACTGTGAAGTGTAGTGACTGTGTTTTGTATACTTAACACAGCAGCCAATTTACGCATAGCAATGACTTACAAACAGACACAAAGCAAATGACCAATTTTATCTGGGGAATTGTTTGCCAGAACAAAGGGAAAATGATTGAGGGAAAACCTCCCTTCTCATTTTGAATAGTGCCCATGGGATCTTTAACTTCTATCTAAATTTGGTTTAATGTTTCAGCTGAAGGATAGAGGTGATTAAGGATTGAAAATAAATAGAATTAACAGACTTCGGATGAGTGCCAGTGTTTGTGCGTGTTAATAACCAAGCTAGTAAATACTTTATTGTGTTAAATAAGCTATTGGAAATTCTAAGAAATGCCCGGAAACTGACAAAACAATACAAATGTAATGCAGAGTTGAGTCCCATCTATTACCAACCAAAAAGATTGTGTTCTGGCGACACCTTGAGGGATGCAGCATAAATTGCAACTTGGGTTTAAATAAACAATTTTGATTGTATAAAACAGCCAAAAGATTCTGCTTATTGTTAATAATCCTTCCAGTTGGTATAGCTCGTTTCTCGTCGAGAGAACGTCTTAAAGGACTTCACAGCACATACTGCTAAGTGTAGTGACTGTGTGTTTTGTGGGTGAAACGTATACTGGAGAACGGTAAAGCTCAACAGAAAACTCTGGAAACATGTAGCACGCCAAGGAGCATCTGAGAGAGAAAGATAGGTCAGGTCAGAAATACACACACTAAACCCCTCCAAAATATTTTGTGTGTACCACACTCTGTTGCAAATGGTGCCAGTCGAGTGTGGTCTTCCCCTTCCATTACCTACTGATCTTCTCGACCACATCACTCCCACCCTCGCCCTCGCTCGCCTCCACTGTCTTCCCATCCCCCAGAGGATCGAATTCAAGATCCTCATCCTCACCTACAAGGCCATTCACGGCCTCGCTCCCTCCTACCTCTCTGACCTACTATCCCCCTACTTACCTGCGCGTGCCCTCCGTTCCTCTGCCTCCAGTCTGCTCCACATCCCCGCCCCAACCGCCCTACCATCGGTGGCCGGGCCTTCAGCCTCTCAGCCCCGAGGCTCTGGAACTCCATCCCCCAGTGCCTTCGCCTTCGCTTCCTCCCTTTCCTCCTTCAAGGCCGGACTCAAGACCTTTCTCTTTGACCTTCAGCCTTCATCTCCCCTCTCGACTCTCTACCCCCTCCTCGCTCCCTCCCTTCCCTCCCCTCACCCTGACCATTCCCCCCCTGCTCGAGTCCTGACCCAACTGTCCAGTGCCTTGGGACGTCCTCCTGACGTGAAAGGCGCTCTATAAATGAAATCATGTTGTTGTTGTTGTTGATCTCAATTTGTGGGAAATATTGAACACTAGCTTTTTTGTTCATTAGTGCAGTGCAGAGAGAGCCGCTATTTCTAGTTTAACCCACGGCACTGAAGAAAACAACACTAATTCCTTCATTGTTTCGCAGTGTAAAACCTTGGAGATCAAGCTGGAGGAGGATATGGTGTTTACAGAGTATGAACAGATCCCAAAGAAGATGCTAGATGGGGTTTTCACCACAGCGACGCTTCCGGAGAACGCTGAGCGGAATCGTTTCCGAGACGTTATTCCTTACGAGGAGAACAGAGTGGAGCTGGTGCCAACCAAAGAAAATAACACGGGCTACGTCAATGCCTCTCACATCAAGGTCAGAACATTCCCTGGGCTTTCACTTCTTCTCTGTGCCCCATTAGACTCATTAAATGTTGCCAGGAATGGAATGGCCACTGTGCACTTTTTTCCAATATATTGTATATTGGAGCATGCGTTCCTGGTGAGGGTAAAGGCAGAGTCGCTCTGGGATCCTACCCTGCGTGAGGGACGCTATATAAATGCAAGTTGTTGGTGATGGTGAGGGTAAAGACATAGGCTGATGTTCCAGAAGAGGAACAGAGCTCACTCTACTCTATTTGCAGCCTGCTTTAGTGAGAGGGGCTGTGTATCTAGTGTATCTAGCACTATAGCAGAGTGATTCTTGATGGAAGAATCTGTGTGACATGAATGGACGGAGTCATCCAGGTACATTGTTGCATCACCTTTCCCATACCCCACTTCCACACGATAACAAGCACATAGGCGAGCAGCATGTCAATAACTGTCTTATGCTCCCTGAGCACTTGACAATACAAAAGAAGGTATCACTTCAATTTAAGTGTCTGCTGTAAAATAATACTTTACGTTTAACAAAGCTAAACTACTCCAACTACAAAAAGAGTTATTTAATACTTCAGTATTACTGTGTAAGTTAACACCCATTTAGCTAAAAAGCTGTTATTACAGCAGACTTCCTGTCATTCTTTGGGAGTGTATTATAAAAGAGGGCTTTGGAAGAGGTTTGGTTTGGCCTCTGCATTAGTGAGGGAGTGCATCATGTCAGCGATCAAATAGTACATCAGAGACATTTATGAAGGGATGTACCGCAGGTACATGAATCTGCAAATGCACGATTGAGCCAGTTTATAACTAATTAGTAATGTCATCCAAAATGTGTTTTAGTAATGTTTAAAAAGTAATTTAAATTTAAACCAGCTCGGGTGCGGATCCCTGACTGTCCTTGGGACATCCTCTAGACGCGAAAGGCACTGAACAGATGTAATTTGTGATTGTTGTTGTTGCTGTTTATCAGCCTTGAAAGCTGGTTCTGCTCAAGGCACTTCAGAGTTGGAATGATGTGAAATTGACCGACCGGGGAGATACTTGCATGCAGTCATTTAGCTTCCACTTACGGAATACCAGGGCCAACAGGTTGTCACATTCTGTGTTGAATATTTTCCTTCGACTAACATAATAGTCCTTCCTACATGCAACTGGAATTTTGTTGTACCTCAGAAAAAATTCCTACACCACTAGATTTCCAAAAAATCTAATAGTGGATTGGTACTTAGATCCACTGCCACTGAGCCCTTGACTGTTAGCCCACTCTTTCTCCTTGCGTACAGTTAGCTCTTTGCTGTAGTATTAGTCTTGCTGACCAATGCTATGTCTGGTGTGTAAAATTGGTTACATAAGTAAGACTGTACATTGCTAGATTGCCCTCTGAGTTCTGAGATTTGGAGTGCTAGACTTTAACCTTAAGACTATGATTGTGCAGCACCTTAGCAAGTTTTATTAAATTCGTTCTTCGTTCGGGAGCCAGAGGTTTTCTGCAGTTCTTAAAAAGAACTGCAGAGAAAAACGGCTTCCATATTGAGAGTGAATTTAAGAATTTTCACACTTCTGCAGGATCTTAAATTTTAAGATTGAATAGTCTTACTAAGAAACAACAGGTGAAACTTGTGTCTAATGAGTGGACCTTATGGAGATCCCCATCACTGGTGACATGACTAAGATATACAGTCAAATCACTTTACAGTATATTCTGTGAAGCATTTTGAGACATTTCAACAATGTGATAAGGCACTATATCAAATAAAACAATTTATTATTAGTATTATTATTGCCCCCATCGCCGGTGACTTGAGATCCATCACTCGATTCCCACTGAATGGAAAAATTGAAAATATCTTTATTTAACATTAGGGCTGGAGTGTCTGTTGGCTTTATCAACACGTGCTCCACATGGGGAAATAGCTATTGCAACAGCTTCACCCAAGTGGGACACAGTAAATTCTGCATTGTTGACATATTATGTGTGATTGGCAGGTCACTGTTGCTGGAGAGGAATGGCACTATATCGCCACACAGGGACCTCTGCCACATACATGCCATGATTTCTGGCAGATGGTATGGGAACAAGGAGTGAATGTGATTGCCATGGTTACAGCAGAGGAGGTAAGTTCTATTTACACTGGAATAATCTCTAGGAATCTCTCCTTAAAATAAATATGTTGAAAATGTTGCAAAGATAAATCGCATCTCTTCTCCCCCCCAACCCCCCCAACCCCCGGTCTTTCTCAGCCATGTGGAGAAGATCAGCATCAGTCAGCAATCCACTTCACAGGGTGGGGGAGGGGGTGTTAGGCGGATATAATTATAATAATAAATTGCTCACCTTAATCCGTGACTGTTTGTGGGGACGCTGTTGTGTGCAATTGGCTGCCGCGTTTCGGCCACAAAATACTGCTACTCTGGTTGCAGTGGAGAATTCCGGGTGATTGCATAAGAAAGTTAGCAAATTACATTCCACTCAGTTATTCAGATTGTAAGCCAAAGAATGTTCAGTGTTCAGAAGGGGAAGTCATGTTGGAGTGGTGCCTTTTCATTAGCACAGTCTCCATTCTCTCTTTCGTTACTGTAATTGCTCATCTGTTGGCTGTTTCTTGTTCTCTGCCGAGTTATCAGTGGAACTTTGTCCTTCGTTCCTGCCACCGTGAACTCGCCCTTCCTGTGTACAATATGACTGCTTTTGCCACTGTTCTCATTCACGACGGTGTCCAAGCTTCAAGTGAAGCCTGAATTGCATCACTTTTCTGGAATAATCTTTTTGACAGGAAATGGCTGTCATCCAGATACCTTAAATAATTGTACTCTCACACAATCTTTTCTTGGAGTTCCTGTACATCGCTGACACACATCTGGTTACCAGCAAGAGATGCTTTAGAAATAGGATTTTTACCCCCATTTTCATTAGTTTTAATACTCGTCCCTCCCCCCAACCCCCAGTAATCCTCATGAGTATATCCCCCATGACTCAGGTGTCAAAAGGTTGTGGGTTCAAACCATTGGGTCTTTGAACTTACTAGTCTAGGCTGATACCAATGCAGTGCAGAATGCAGTACTATATTGTCAGAGGTGCTTTCCTTCAGATGAGATGTTAAATCGAGACTCCATCTGCCTGTCCAGGTTTACATTAAAAATCCCATGGCACTATTTGAAAAGAGAAGGGCATTTCTCCCGGTGTCCTGGCCAATAATCCCCCAGATAAAATTCATCCTTCACTTCATGGCTGTTTGTGAGACATTGATGTATGCATAATAGCTGCCACATTTGCCTAAAAACACACAATCACTGCACTTTACAGTAAAACCTTGTGAAGCGGTTTGAGACATCCTCCCAATGTGAAAGCTGCTGTATCAAATTCAAGGTCTATTATCGTTATTACTACAGTGTGGCTGTGTAATTGTGGAAATGCATTTTATCCCCATTTCTCAGCACGGGATGTGGCTTGCGATAGACTACCCTGCGTGAAGGGTGCTATATAAATGCAGGGGCAGGTTGATATGGTGCAAGACGTAGCATTGCTTGAAGAAACCGATCGCCGGCCTTGTATTTCTTTGTGTTCGGAAGAACTGAAGTTTCTCCATTCTTACCCTGTTTTCTCTTTGGTTTCTTTGTTACAGGAAGGCGGAAAACCAAAGAGCCACCGATACTGGCCCAAACTGGGCTCCAAGCACAGCTCCGCCACTTACGGGAAGTTTAAGGTTACAACCAAGTTCCGCACAGATTCCGGTTGCTATGCCACTACAGGTTTAAAGGTCAAACATCTTCTGTCGGGGCAGGAGAGGACGGTGTGGCACTTGCAGTACACGGACTGGCCAGACCATGGCTCTCCGGACGACGTTCAGGGATTTTTATGTAAGGGACACCGTGATATTCTTACACAACTGTTTAACTGGAGATAGGGCAGCAAACTGAGAGAGATAGCTCTTGCACGAATGTTTCCCTGTCCCCCGCCACACTGAAACATTCAGTGGCTGTCCCAAACCTGGGAGAGAGTGGCACTGCATTCAGGATTCACTCACACTCTCTTCCACTTATCACGTTAAAGGATGCGAACCATCAGATTTTAAAATAGTTGTTACAAATGTTTTACAAACGACAGACGTATCTCTTTACTTACTCCCAAGTTTCCTTACTCGGCTGATACTAATCCCTCAAGAAAACAAATAATAAAAAATTGGTCACTTCAGTCCACTGCTGTTTGTGGGGACGCTGCTGTGCGCAATTGGCTGCCGCGTTTCGCCCACAAATATACAGTCAATTCACTTTACAGTATATTCTGTGAAGCGCTTTGAGACGTCTCGAAGATGTGAAGAGCGCTATATCAAATGCAAGGATTATTATTATATTCAGCACTGCTAGATTCAGGTTTTCTTGCGTGATGAACATTTCAATGCAATCTCTTCTCCACAGATGAGAAAACTTTAAACATCTTCCCTTTGTCAGAGGCTTGCATTTATTTTTGATCACCTTTGCTAAATGATTTATTTTTGATCAGTCTAGCTAAACCCAAACAAAATGCAAAATATTGCAGATGCTGGAAATCTGAAACAAAAGCAGAAGTCGCTGAGAACACAGCTAAACCCATCCATGCTCTGCTGAAAGGTGTCACTGTGGATACTAGCCTTCGGCCAGTAATGCACCTCAATCCTTCGCCTTCACAAACTGTTTTCCGTCGAGTGAAAAGATTGCTCTTGGAAAGTAAGGCCCTCCTGAACGTCAAGTTTGCACAACAGGAACTTATCTTACATCACTGTTTCGAGCGTATGATGTTTTCATAAATACACGTCCACTGATTCATGCACCTCGCACAGAGATTTTTGATAAATTGTGGGCAGCCAGGAAGAGAGACAGTGCAGCCTCCAGTGCAAAGCTTGTTCCTTCCCTGCACCCATCTGCCTTTTTCTAATGTCCCTTTTACTTTTCAAAATGTTACCAGCTTATCTGGAGGAGATTCAGTCTGTCCGCCGACACACCAATAGCATGCTGGACTCCACCAAGAGCTGCACCCCACCAATAGTTGTCCACTGCAGTGCGGGGGCTGGGAGAACTGGAGTGGTGATTCTAACTGAAGTTATGATCGGCTGCTTGGAGCACAACGAGGTAAGTGTGGCATAAAACCTGAAATTCCCGATTTTCCTTTGGAAGACGTTTTGATGGTCCTGGGAAATCTGTAATGTTTTTTTTAACCAAACTTTACAGACAAGCTCACAGTAATCTGTGCCCCACGCCTGAGGAAACTTGGAACAGCTTACCTTGTCTGATGCCTACATTTGTGCCTGTACCTAAGGAAATTTACACATTTTAAATTAAAACGGTGCTCCAATTAGAAGATGGTGTAGAAAGACTGACATTTCCTGTATAGTGTGTGTGGGAGGGGGGGGTAGTATTTGATGGGCTGCAAACAAACCATGCAGCTATTAGAGTGGAGTCCTGTAACTCAGTGGTTAGGGCACTCGCCTCGCAAGTGGGAGACCTGGGTTTGATTCCCGGGCGGGGAGAATCACTGGGCAAGTTTCCTTACTCCACATGCCTCTGTTTACTAGCAGTAGGTAGGAACCCAATTGGCGGATCGCTTTTCCAGGGGTAATATTTCCTTCAAAAAAACGACTGTTTGTGAGACGCTGCTGTGCGCAATTGGCTGCTGCGTTTCGCCCACAAAATATACAGTCAGTTCACTTTACAGTGTATCCTGTGAAGCGCTTTGAGACGTCTCGAAGATGTGAAAAGACGCTGCATCAAATGCAGGATTATTATTATTAGGCCATGAAAACTAGAAACCCTGAGTGGTATGTAGAGTAGGTACTTGTGTGCTAATGTATTTTCATTGCTTTTCTGTTGCAGAAGCTGGAAGTACCGGTTATGCTGGGATTCCTACGACAACAGCGGATGTTAATGGTTCAGACAATAGCCCAATACAAGTTTGTCTACCAGGTCCTCATTCAGTTCCTAAAGAACTCCCGCCTGATTTAGTGTCCCCTTAGAAACCGTGTGTTTGAACCACACTAACGGTTAACAGTGGAAATGGAGTTAGCTGCTTTTATTTATATATATATATCTATATATAAAACAATGCAGCTTAGCACAGCAGGTATTCTGTGATGTGATACTTTGACTTCTGCAACTCCCCTCGACTCTGTTTTGAGTCTTGTTGATATTAATTTATAAGAAGGAAGCCACAAGCCTGACACAGAGAATATTGGCTTAAAGTAGCGATAAGGAGCATTGTGTTTGGCTTTGTATCAGAGAGTGGCTTTTCTTTCACAGTTACTAAGCTTTGGATCACAGTGACAGGTTTATTGCAACAAAGTAAAATGGAGCATCGTAACTTTGGAAATGTGGAGAGAAGATTAATGACCAAGTATGTTCAGAATGCGTGGCTCTCACCTCACCAGCACCACAGGAAATGCAAAAAAACACACCTTTAAGGTTGTTCCGTTCACATCATCAGATGACACAATGAGACCATATTAACAATTAGAATTCATCACAAAGCTATTTATGGAAATGACACGATTTCCGTTCCATTAGGCCAGGAATGCACGTCTGTATCAGCAGAGATGAGTTGAGCTGAGCCCTAAAGCAGTGTTACTCACGTGTGCTAACACATTCCTCTTTTGACCTTCTGCGCAGATTACCTTTATGCTAAACAAGAATGAGGAGGTTTACCTTTAATCCTTTAAACGCTCTTCTCCTTCAGGAACTCGCCCATATTTCTGTACTTTAGGTTAATTTATACAGGACACTACGTCTAAAAAGGGGAGGCAAGTAAAGCTTCTCCTGTATCTATTGGGCCCAATATCAACACTTGCTTTCAGCGAAGTAGAAAGCAATGGGTATCTATCTCTATCATTTCTATATGAGGAATCAGTGCGATAGAATAGAGTGCTATATTAGGAACTCTTCAGTCACAGGAGAATTTTAGTGGAGTATTTGGGGATGAGGACTAAGGCACCGAGAGGGAGTTCTGTAGAGAAACAATCTGTAAAAATGTTCCACCAGGTCAAGATTTATTCTATTAATGCAATGTTTTAGAGCACCAAGAATCTGATGCTGGTTGGCTTCTGTGGTTCCCTCGACAGTGAGTTCACGAGCTTGGCCATACGCCGCTGGGGAGGAATGGGATGAAGGCTGCGATCCAGGACATTGCGCGCTTACAAAGGGGAAAAATCCCATTCTAAATGCAAAATTGTCAAATTCGCTACATTTAACGGCAAAAAGCATTTCTCATCTTCAACTTATGGATAATACAAATGGCTCATTGTGTAACATCAAAAGCCAGAGCTACTCTGGCTATTCACTAACTTCAGCTGCAGTAAAATATTGCCGCAGACTCTGTGGCAGGATAGGACTTGCTCAAACATCATAATACTCGACCTTGGTAAGCGCGGCAGTTAACCAATCAACCTGTTAATTTTTTATAAACCTGTTCAAAGCGTTTTTAGCACACTTTACTTTCTGAGAAACCCTTTGTTCCTCACAGTTTTCTTTCTTTCTGATCATCCGAGTTAAACAACAATTAACTGGCAAGTGAGTCAAATGTTCCGTTCAATTCTGACCCACTGCTCTTTTAGGAAACGACACTGAAGCGAGAATAATCTCAGTCGTTAACAACTTCAACTTGGCCCTCGAAGAAGGGCTAAACCTTTTCTAACTTGGTCATTCCAAAGAGGCTGATCCAACTTGTGACAACTCTTGGAGCAGATAACAACGCAAGAGGAAAATATTTAAAAGTGGAAAATAATTGCCTCCAGCTTCCCCTTCCTATTTATCAACTTGTGTCATGTCCTCTGTCCTATTTCTCCTTTGCTGGAAAAGCATTGAATTAACCCGTTGAAAACTGGGATGTTCTCCATCCTTTCCTTCATGTACTATCAGCACAAATAACTCCCAGTAGGCAGGACACGTTATAAAGTAGGTTTTAGAAAAATGCTTTGCAAAGTTGAGCAGTTTATTCAAAGGGGCTTTTTAAATACTATATTCTTAGGCTGATGAGTAAATGCTGCACTGGACTTTGAAGGGTTAATGAAACTGCCAGTGACTGAGGGGTTTTTTTTTGGTGGGGGGGGGAGGAGGGGCAGAGAATGGACAAACCTGTCAAAGAAACTCTTTGCGGTACGTGCGATTGGAAAGTTGTGCAATTACATCTTTAGAATCTAATTCCATTGTTTTTGTAAGAAGCCTCACTCCTCTCGGCTTTACTGGGCGCTTGCACATCACTGCCCTTACGTTCGACTCGGCACATTCCACCCACCCGGCAGAAAGTGGGGGCCACGGTGCAATCTCTCATTGTTTTCTTGTGCAAACCTTTTTTTAACAGCAGTATTATTATTCAAAATGTTTTGCGTTTGCATCAAGTGTCGGGGAGAAGTGGGGGTTTGCAAGAGGTTGACGCTGATGACATTGTGACATTTTTGTGGACGTTTAAGGTATAATCTACTTGGTTAACGGTGTGTATTAAAGGCCAAAGGTTCCCTGGAAATGTTCGGGTTGCAACTCCTATCTCCCAGGCCTAACGTCCCTGCTCATAAAACAGTCAAGTTTCCCAATTGCTGAGTCTTTTACGGTGTTGTTTCACAAACTTGACGAAAAGCAGGCAATTCATTTCATAAAAAATAAATCGGCTTAGATAATGCTTCTCTGTTCTCAAATTGACTAAAAGAAAAAAATGATCAGCACAGTTGATTCCTCCTGTCAGCAATGGAACCAGCTTCCCACAAAATTGTATTGGATTTCGTTCACATTATTGAAGAGACCTAATTTTTTCGGGTGGGAAGGAAAGTAGAAAAGGCATCATTTTGATTGGAAAATAAGTCAGGTTTAAGTGTGGGGTTTAGGTGCTTGGAACAACACTCCAAAGGAGGCAGGTCGAAAACCGCAATTCTGTTCTCATCACAATTTCTGTTCGTAATTGAAGTTTAGATACTTTAACCTGATAATTATACTCTAATCTTCCCAGAATTGGTCAATGGCAAAAGCAGAAAATTCGCTGGCTTGTCTTACAGAGATTGATCTTGGAACACATCAATTATGTGAACTGGGTGTTTTAAAAAAAAGCTTCACTTATCTGGAATCCGCAACAAAGTCATTGAATTAATGAGTGTTGTGGCGTTGGCATAAAACATGCTGGGATTTTCAGATTCTGGTCACTTAACTGAAACAATCACTCAGATGGAATCGACTTGGGAGCTGTATATATAGCCAGTGAGCAAAGGTGTGTTTTATAGGAAACAAATGTATTAACTCTCAAACCTTTGTCCGAAATGATCATTACATTAATTAAGCCATGTAACTGTGATCGGTTTGAACACAAAGAATGGCTTCCCCCACTGCAAAAAAAATAGTTTGCAGGAAAAGTACAATACAGCAGTGAGGGCGGAATGCCTAGTTAGTAAATTTATTCTGAATTCGTACAGAAATCATTTTAAAAGTATTGTTCTTTGAAGGGTTCAGAAGATTGGAGGGTAATATGTGAAGAGAAAGTAGCAGAGGATAAGAAATATAGACACATCATGAGAGATGCCAGGCATCTGAACTTCCTTCACTGGGGTCTATGGTAGAACAATCGCAAAAGGTAGTGATTGTTTCATTGCGTCTTTACAATGGGAAATCCTGTTAGAAAGACAAAACAAAAGGATTGTTGCTCTTTGCAGTTGGTCAAAACCTAGATGTAGATGTGTACTTAAGCTTATGTAAAATGTACTGTGTAGGATATTAACCAACCCTGAAGTCTGCTTTCTGCTCGTCCTACTTTATGTTCACGGTTAACATTCTGAATGAAATGCCCATAAAAAATAGGTGCAGTATCCTGTACAATCTTTTTTCTGTTCCCCCCCCCAAAAGTGAAACAATTACCAGTAATTTGCCTACAAAAGTACACAGTCGTTATACTTTGCAATAAATTCCATGAAGTGCTTTGAGATGTGAAAAGCATTATATCAAATGCAAAGACTTATTATTAACAGATTAAAAATCATTGTTCATTAAGACCGAGCAGCTAGATGGTAAAAGTGCTGTTGTGAGCACTTTTGTGCATCAATAACTGAACGGTAAAGGGCAGTGAACCTGAGGGAATTGGCAGGCCTGTAACATGCAGGAATCCACAAGTCTATTGTACAGATGCTCCTCTGGTCACAGCGTAACTTTTTCGACAGTCGTTTAACCATGTAATTTGGACAACGTGCTGTGATCTTGCAAGACCTTTTTCACTGTCTAATGCTATGATTGATCGTAATTGTCTATTTATATAATTTAACAGGTTGGGAGAAAACCCCAATCCTAGTGTGTGCTTTTTTTTAAATCCTAGCTGTGTCAGTAACTCAGTATTTGTAAAATAAGATATTGCCAAGGTCAGGAATTGTTGGGTCTCATCTGGGCTGTCCAGTAATGTTCTTTGTTGAGTGATTGCCAAATGGTTCACCATACCTTTTTTTTGTAATTCCTGTCCTTACATTTATACTTAATGAGGATCTAACTGACAGGGTTTCTTCACTAGAATCCTGCAGGTTAATATGATTTAGTCCCTGTGACTGGAAGTAATCTCCATTTGTAAATCAGAGTTTCCTCTTAACAAATGCAATAAATTGGATCCCATTGTTTGGAAATATTGAATGTCTGGTTGGTGACCAAGGTGCGATATTTAACTTTGATCTGACTGTGGATTCTAGATTGGTTAAGATCCCACAACCGAGATCTACCATTGTGTTTTCCTTTCTATTAACAATGCTTTGAATGTACCCGCGTTTATGTATAAATGTATTTATCACTAAGTCTGAGTTACAACCGGAATTGTATTAAATTGTGCATTTTGACCAAGCATTGATGGGTCAAATTGTAGGATATTTTGCGGCACATTTAAACCGTTGGCCTGAAATGTTGTCTAGTCAACTTGTAAAACCTCATAGTCTTAGCATTTAAGTTCATATAGCTTTACGGAAAATTCATGGATTGTCTCAATTTGGAAGCTGGCTCTTTTTGGAAGCATTGTAAAACTGCCTTCTAAATTGAGACTGAATTTAGGAATATTCTACAATTCTGTGAGATCTTAAATTTTAATTTGGTCTTAGAGGCTAAGACCAGGTGGAATTGTGGATGTTAGCACTACACAAGTAACTAGATACCACAGACTAAATATTTGGATTACATCTATTCAAATATGGAGATGGATAGGGGAAATTCCAAAGTCCATTACGAAACAAAACTTTTATAGCTAGGGACAGATTCACACTGCTTTATTTTTAGGAAGCATTGATTTGGAACAATTCTGATTCTGATTGCAATGTGGATAAAGCAACAGTTATCACATGTGATTTATTTTATGTTCCTCATTGCTCCAAATGAATGAATGGCAGAGGGAGGTGTGTTTATGCAGTGGTGCCAACTCTAGTCTGCTTTAACAACTGCAATTGAGCCCATTCTCAATTGCTGAATGAGACTGAGTGCATCATTGACTGAATAGAATTGGGAGCATCATTGATTGTTTGAATGGGCCAAATTCAATAGATTAGATATGTGCTGAATCCAATTTGCCAAAAAATGACCCACTCTTAAATACTGTATAGGTTATCTTTTGGGGGGAAAAGTACATCCTATAGTGCACCCTGTACACATCAGGCTTCAGAGTAAAGAAATATGGAATATTGTCTTTGATGGTCCAGATGTTTTAGTTCATTGCAGAGCTGATTGAACCAGTTGAGTTGTGCCTTCATGATAGAACCAATTGTTCTCTGCCCCTTATAGTGGTTTCTTTGTTGGGAGTTTTAAAAAATGACTGCCCAGAGCACTCAAATATTGTGCTCTTATCACAGTAACATAGTGTTTTGTTCCATTTATAACTTTATTTTCAAAAAAGTGCCTTGACAAATCTATTGAAAGGTCTAAATATTATTCTGGGCTAGCAAATTAGCTGCCACATCGCCTACATAAAAGTTCACTTCATTTCAAACGATTCTCCTTTAGTAAGGTGTCTCAAGGGGGACATTGTTGGAGCTGTAAACGTTTTTTTATTATATATAACGTAGGGTAAACTTCAGAACCACGCATTAGGTAAACGTTAAAGTTTATTTAGTTTTCATTTATGATCTCTTTTGTGGGTGTGTAAGTGCCTTACAAAAAAGTTATCACTTATTTGTGGTGAGCTGCAGACTCCACTAAGTGTCTGGAGCTTCTGTACGCTTGCCGTATGGTACTGGTAGTGGATTAAATTGGTGCTTGCACCTGTTCAAAATGGTGTGGCCATGTCACATTGAAATGAACAGGAAAAACAAGAAGGGTCTTCCCCACTTCTAGCCGCACACTGCCTTGTAGTTTCAAATTCATATGAAGCACAATACTTCCTGGAGAACATTGAAACCCCTGCGCCCCCCCCATGACCTGACCTTTCAGTTGCACTCTCTCAGGTTACTGGAGTTGACAAGAGCTCTTTGTAATAGGTAAAGTGGTAATGCATGAACCCATCCTGTATTGATTACTAATACCAATGTGTTTGAATGCATGCTCAGGTTAGCTAAAGATAGTGTGTCTGCGACGTAAGGCAAACTGGTCCAATCATGGTTTAGGTCTTCTTTCTCACCTGTGTGCTTTGATTGTACCATTGAGGTATTTCTCCACCACATATTGTAGTATATGTTAGGAGTTCTGACTGTTCAGGATGTCTGATGGAGATCAAGTGAGGAGGTATTGTTATTGTTAAAGAAAGCACAACTACTGCACATCAGTTGGTGCTTTTCCTTCCTTCCCTGCAAAGTTGGTCTAAAATTTTAACAAACCACAAGTGTGTGTTGTACTAACTCAGTGAAACAGTTTGGCTCCTCAAAACAATATACATACTTGGCATAATGTTGCAATGGGAAGCTATGTACCTGGGTAGATAAGTCCTTAGACAAGACCAATGTATTTGCCTTTTAACAGAATTAAATAGTTTGAAAAGAGTTCTGGTTGGTCAAAGGCTTACTATGTTCTGTAAGTCCTTTCCATTAAAAACAAGCTATGCATACTTTTTAATCCAATGGTTGAGATCACTGTAAATATTTCTGTAAAAGCTTTTCTTGCCAGTTTTCCAGTATAAAACTGATAATGACAGTATTTTGCACTGTACTTTGCTGCCTTTATTTCCTTGTATAGATACCATTCACCATTGCTTCTCATAACTGGTCAGAACAAGCTTACAAAGTTTTTCATTGCGTCTTCTATGTAAATTATTTTGTATATGCTTCTCCCCTTTATTCGTGAATGTACCAAACATTTTGTAAAAGATAATTGTGTCTAGCTTTCATATCTTAAGTATGCAATAAAACATTTTTTTCCAAAACTTCCTTTGCCCTCTGCTTTTCTGTAAGTTATTACACTCTATCCCTCTCTGCCTGTTCAGGCAGACCTTAAAGATACTATGGCACTATTTCAAAAGAGAAGGAACTTTCCCCCGGTGTCCTGACCAACACTACTCCCAAATAAAATTGATCATTCACTCCATTGCTACTTGTCGGACATTCCAGTGCACAAATTGCCTGCTGTGTTTGCCCATATAACCATAACAACAACTTGCATTTAAATAGTGCCTTTCACGTGGGGTAGCGTCCTGGAGTGCTTATATAAAACACAGTCACTCACTTTGCAGTATATCCTGTGAAGCGCTTTGGGATGTCTTCCTGACTCGAAAGTTGCTATCCAAGGATTAAGGATTATTATTACTCACTATCACTTGTTTGTCTTGCTCATGAGAATGAGGCATGGGAAAGATTTGAAGGAAGGGAAATCCACAGATGTTAACTGTTTCCGGTTATATCTTTCTACAACTGTCAGTGACAGACATTTTAATTGGAATAATAGACCCCCTCACCTTTTGGAATATTCCCATTAGTTTCCAGAGCATTTGCTGAAGATGAGGAAGAGCCCCATCCCCATTTGCAGAGCTTCTGCCAAGCTGCCAGAGTAAAGGTTATTTCAAATAAATGTTCCCCAAGTGTTGTCGGTAAATCACCAGGTTTAGGCTGGTTGCCTCCAACATTGGCAATGTTAATATTGCTTCAGTGTCAATCCTAACGCTGGAGGTGCTCACACCTACCCATCTCTTTAGTCTGAACCCGTCATTGGAATTAATGCTGCCTTGCTTGCTTTGCCAAAGAAGCACCAAAACCAGGTTTGCTTCAGGATAAATAAGCATACAACGACTGCCCCAAGAAAGGAGCATCCTTGCTGCTCACTGAACCTTGTTCTATGATGTGCTACTTTGCGATGGATCAAATAATTGCACAACAAACAAGTCAATTACAAACAGCAGTAATTCAAATCCGCAGCAAGGTCTCATGTGGTTCTGGAACATTAGAACGATTGATAGAATTACAACTCCTAACTATTCAAGCCTTTTCCTTCCTTTGCAGAAATTAGTTTTTAGTTTTAGAACAATTGGGGAGGGAATTAAATATCACAGTGAGTACCCCATCCCACTTCCCATCAGTCAGTGTGGCTCAACACTAACGGGCTGTGCACAAGGCTGGCACCCAGCTGGTTTTGTTCTGTCCTTTTATTAGGGCAGAGGAAGAGTACAAAATGGAAAAACCGACCTGGGTTATACTTTGAAGTAAGTGTTTCTACTGAGGCTCCTACTCCTTATACGCTCCTTTGTAGGTGTTTGCCTACAAAATACACAGTCACTGCACATTCCAGTAAATCAATGTGCATCGACACATCCTCCTGTTGTGAAAGGTGTTATATCAAATCCAAGAGTTATGTTTCGTATTTTTTTATGGAGTGTACATACATTTTCAACTCTTAAATGAGCTGAGGACAAACCTCTTGCAATACATTTTAGTGTAGCAAGTACATATTCAAAACACGCAAAGGGCAAACAAAAACAAAAGGGAGCATTCCTCTTGACCTTCATGCAATTATTTTTGAGACCGGTCATTTGCAGATGGGAACTAATATTTTGAAATATTGCTCAGGATGCTGTCATCATCTTTGACCAGACACCAAATGCATTCCGACTAAAGAATCTGGAAAGGTATGCAAAACATTCATTTTCCCTCCAGCTCCTTTTTAATTTCCGCAACGTAGGGATGCTCTTTGCCGTGCACCACCTCCATAATGGCCAGGGCCTGTGATAACAAAAAAAAAGCCACTTGAATCCACAATTCCTCTCCCATGTTTTTCAGAGACTGAAGCATGTTACCAGAAGCTGACAATCTCCAGGGTTCACCTGTACCACAGGTAGAGGGGTTGATTTAGGTATTTCTTACCAAACTGTCCATGCCCTCCACTCAGCATTCTCCGGCCTGCTCCATGTCCCCGGCCCGCCCCACCATCGGGGTCAGGCCTTCAGCCTGTCTGCCCCTCCCCCCACCACCCTTTGAAACCGGGAGATACCAGGGCAAGGCTCATAAATACTACCTTTGTGCCTTTCTTCTAACAATCGTTTAACTTCGAGTCAAAATAATAACGCGCAGCCCTGGACTATTTACCTTTCTCAATGATCTCCTTCCAGCTGAATGGTTTTCCAGTCCCATATCTAACCGGCCTAACTTCAGCCACATGGAAGCAACGTTCAGAGAATAAGGAGGGTAGTGCTTGCTGAAGAGAAGGAATAGAGGGAAATGAACAGAAAAAAGATTACAAATAAAAAAACGTTGTAAATTTGTACCCTCGTTCCCCATCCTGTCCTGGTCACACTATTCCCACCGCGATTAATGAGCAACTGTAAATTTAGGCATTATTACCTGCATGGAATCTTCTCTGGTTATTACCTGCATTGGGATGTTCTCTAATTATTGTTTTCATGTATTTTGTGGGTATGAAATATCAAAATAGCTTTTACCCAGTGTTTATTTTCAGATCTTCCCGATGGATAATTTCCCCAAATTGCACTTCCGCACAGATTCTGGGGCGTGTTCCTTGGGGCTGTTTTGCTGCTCAGGTATCCAGCGCTGAATTCCGTGCAACCATCACACAAGGTGTTAGAAGAATTTACTATTATTTATTATTACTGCTGATAATAATCTCAACAGAGGCAAAGATCTCCATGGAACAATCTTACAAATAATAATCCTTACATTTGATGTAGCGCCTGAGCACGTCTTCGAGACGTCTCAAAGCGCTTCACTGGATACACTGAATTGTGAATTGACTGTATATTTTGTGGGTGAAACCCGGCAGCCAATTGCACTCAGCAGCGTCCCCACAAACAGACGTGCACTGAGCAATCAATCACGTATTTACTTATTTATTTGTTAATCAATTAATGAATGAATTATTTTTTAAGTAATTTTTTGCACTGAGCACTGCATTCAATCCATTTATGTTGGTTCCCATTTACCTGTAAGGTCTGACAATTTTCTGACCGTAGCGAAGGGCTCCCTCCCAGTCCTGCATGTACAGGCAGACCCCCATAGCCTGGTACATCATGTGCAGCACGTAGACATTGTTATCATCAAAGACTGCTCCCATCTTATCCAGGCTGAGCTCGCAGACCTCCAGCAGCTCACTAGGGGGTGCCAGATAGTCAAGGATAAAACACACTCACGGGTCAGTTTCTTCCGGCAACAAGACATATAAACAACAATTGTTCTGATCAACCTGAAGGATCTCAATATTATGGACTCTGATCATTTAATAGGAAATCTACAGTAAAAGGTGCAAGGAAAATCCAAAGCTTTGTGATTTTTTTTGGGTGTCAGCCGGGTGTCTTAGACGAAGGCAACAAAGGCATCTCAATGCTTAAGAATATCCAAACTCGACAGAGTTGTCCCACCTACACAGGAAAGCTTTGTGATCAAACCCATCTTTCAGGTAATTGGTTAAGGCTGACAAGAGAACTTGTACAGAAGATTCAGATCATCAGTCAGTGCTGAATTCAAACCCTAGTCCCAGGAATAAAAAAGACAGATCTCTAAACCGCTTCTGCGATTAACTCTTCTTTTTCACATCATATGAATACATTTTTGGTTCTCATCAAACACTTTGGGAAGTCCTGCTTGTAGCAGCTACCACCATCTGAGTGTCTACCCAAATATAGATCTCAAAGTCTAGATCAAAATACTGATACAACTTTGCAAAGATCAGAAAACCTGAAGAAACATTTCTACAGTGATTCATATATAACCTTTGTTGTATACATCATATACCAGGCAGAAGATAATAATAATAATAATGAAGATCTGGTGAAGCGCAAGAACAACCTGTCCAACTGCAAACTGCTCCGCCATGGAGGAACATCGACCAACAGCTTAAACACTGTGGACCAATCAATCAAAAAAGGATATTTTTGTAGTGCTTTGCTCTCCTGAACTCTTCGATGGCATTCCTGGAGTACTTAATCATGTCCTTGATGTCATGCGGCTTTGGAATCTCGCCATGCTTTCGGATCTCCAATTTTTCTTCATCCTGTTGGGAAGGATTGGGAAGTTTTGGTGGAGGAGGTGGGTGGTGGAGGCGGGGTCAAGACCTGCTCAGCATCTGCTGAAGAGTACGACCTGCCTCCAAGATGGGCCTGGTTGGTGTCAATAAGAACTGAGAGAGTTTAGACCATTTATCAAGGGAAACCTGGATCATGTTGGGAACAATCCAATTTCCTATTGCCGTTATAGACCGGAGGCTGTAACTGAATGAGTTGGGCAAAGAGTGAGAGCTACTCCAGCTGAGTCTGCAAATATATAAATAAACAACAGTCCTATCTGGGCTCACACTAAAATTCCTGGACAGCAGCGAGTGAGAACACTAGCGCATTTTTCCCTCCCTTCCCCAGGAATATAGAGGCCACTTGCTCCATAGCTACACATACCGTCACACCTGTAGACCTTCGGCTTACAAAGTAAGTAACACACCAGGCAGTGCTGGTCTGTGAGGCTCAATAAAACACCAGTTATTGGATTTGCACACTGAACTATCAGGAGGACCCACCAAACACTTCCCTTATATATACAGTTCCCTCAAGAGCAACATTGCTAGAGGCTTCAAAGTATATCACTTGCTTGCAAAGTGAGCCAAGGAGAAGGCAAATACAACAATTGGCCTCCAGGTCAAATAAAGTGTAATCAAAGACACCAATTTAAACACGTCACCTTTGCTTTTGTAGCACATTCCCTGCAATCACAAATGAAGAAATAGGAATCCTTCAATCGATCCTGCCTGTCTTCGGTCGGATACAACAAATCGATATAACTGGTAAAGATCTGATGGGAAAAGAGGAAAGTGTGAAAAGTCCAATTAATGGTACTTTCGCCCTCAAAACACACAGTCAATTCACTTTACAGTGTATCCTGTGAAGCGCTTTGAGACGTCTCGAAGGCGTGATAAGGCGCTATATCAAATGCAAGGATTATTATTATTATTAAATCAACATCCGTTCTGCTCACAATGAGGTTGAGACATTTATACATTTAAGGAAACGATCAATCTCTAGACCAGCGATGTAGGAGTCCAGTGGATAAAGACTTTGTGAGCGATCTAAAACACAGTACTTTGAGACTCTAGACTATTGTCTAGACTCTAGACTATATACTCTTCTTTCCGCTCTCAGTTCACACTTCCTGTGTCTGTAATGCTTCAGATTGTGACCAATCCAGTCTCCAGGTGGCCACGTGGCTAGAGGTGCGCGAGCGAGAGAGCTTGTGAACTACACCAGCACAGTAGCGGTTGGCAATGCAGTGAAGTGAAAGCCACAGCTCCACCACTGGGTGGAGGTGTCCCATCGCTCTGCTCCACCTCCTAACATTGCAGTCCTTTAAATGGGAAAGAATAGTTTGGCCATTAAAAGTAGAACATATGACCAAAGTAGAAAATGCCCCTCAGCTCGGTTGATTGAAATTGAAATTGAGAAGCGTTCACTCAGCCTTCCACACTGTCAAAGCCAGTAACACTCAGCATAACATGTTTCATCCATAAACCATTACAACTTCAAACTTATTCAGCTCCAGATCAGCATAGACTGCCGGAAGAAGACACATTTTTGGCTTGGCTGACGATACCATATTGCATTGCATAGCTCCGATACATCCGGAGATTCCCACATTCCTGTACAATACAGTAACACTTACAGCCATAAAATTTATATGGGAAGAATTTTGTGGGAATGCCAGAAACTAGGAATCAGTCCAAATGCTTCTCAAGTTGTGCGGTTTGTCAAGAATCTGGGCCTTTTGAGACACCAAGCAAGCACCAAAGCTACAGCTGAGAAAGCCACAGAAAGACACAGGCAAAGACACGAAAGAGATACAACAGCAAAAAGAGTCCTAAACAAGTTAGAAAGTGGAATCTTACATCAAATATCTTCCCATTACACGTGAGACTACACTGACAAAAATGTGAATCAAAACCAGTAGGAAACGCAGACAGAGGTACTGACAGATAATAACAATAATCCTTGCATTTGATATAGCACCTTATCACATCTTCGAGACGTCTCAAAGCGCTTCACAGAATATAAAGCAAATTGACTGTATATTTTATGGGCCAAACACGACAGTCAATTGCGCACAGCAGCGTCCCACAAAGAGTCGTGGATTGAAGTGACCAATTTATTATTATTATTTTTGAAGGAATTATTACCCCCAGAAAAACCATCCAAGAATCGACTAACAACCGGGTTCCTACTTACTGCTCGGTAAACAGAGTCGTGTGTGAAGTAAGGAAACTTGGCCAACATTTCGCCCTGCCGGGAAGCAAACCCAGGTCTCTCGCTTGCGAGGCGAGTGCTCTAACCACTGAGCAATGCTGATCTTGCAACATGGCATTTCTCCTGTCGTTTTTTTTACTCCTCCAAGTAACTTAATGTCAAGCGGATATTCAGTGCAACCCATTACAAGGCCACAAAGTCTCCTCAGAATAAAAACAAATATTCCTTATAAAACTTGGGTGCCGTGAAAACTTTGTGGCTTGTAGTTGTGAAAACTTTATCTGGATGTATTTTGCGATTCAACAAAATCACCTGTGACCCATTCCCAATACAAGCCCAAGTAGGGTGAGACTGCTCAGACAATGAATGCAAGGCAGTAAAAGCAGAACTTAAGCTATAAAAAGCTGTTTAGATAAGCGACACAGGAAGCAGTAATACCACATTATCCATATCCATAGCAATAAAAGACAAGTGAACAATAAGTGAACAACAAAAAAATAAATTGGTAAATTCAATCCACGACTGTTTGTGGGGACGCTGCTGTGCGCAATTGGCTGCCGCATTTCGCCCACAAATATATACAGTCAATTCAGTGAAGTGCTTTGAGACGTCTCGAAGTTGTGATAAAGCGCCATATCAAATGCAAGGATTATTATTATTATTATTATGTGCTCTGATTATCTAGCAACAATCTGCAACTTGATCATATAACATCAGCAGTATATATCCATTTTATGACTATGGTCCACAAAATTGTTTCCAAAGACAGGTTTTAGGAGTAGGAAAGACCATTAACCATTAAACCCGCTCGTTTTGGTTGCTCAGTCCCACATGCATGTCTTCTCCATGTTATGGAATGGTGGAACAGGTTCGAGGGGTGAATGGCCTACTCCTGCTTCTACATTTCTCACCATTCTCCTTGGTCCAGTCTGACAGATCAGGAAGAAGATAGTATTGGTTCATTTTAAAATAGCTTCCCTTCCGCCACCCACCAAAGCCTCTTCACACTAACCTCCTCTCCAGCGTTAATCTCCTTCACAGCCCTGACCTCTGCACATGTCCCTTTATAGGTTACGATCACATTCGGACAGCAGCTGTGATTCATCAAAGCAACGCTGTTGGGGGAGAAAACACAATAAAAATACACTCACCAGGGTTTGGTTTGTCTCAGTAAAAAAGTTGTACAGTGTGCACTGGAGAGCTTTCTACTGTAAAAACGTTGAGACAATTGAGAAAGTGAATTGAACACAGGGATGTAGGGGCGGAGGGAAGAGGTCTAAGCTGCACACCGCTGCCCACCAAGAGGTCAGATGTGGATGTAATGAAACCCAATCCCAAATCTGGCAAGTCTACAAGTATAGAAACTCCACGGGCCAGAAAAAAAAGTTCAAATAATTGCTGTTATTTGTTTGCTGTTACCCCCCTATGATAACGCAGCCCAATATTTCTCGGAACATCTGTGCTCGGGAATCTTTGAGAAAATTTATTAGACGTGAAAAGAAAACAAACCCAGTTGCTAGAAACGGCAAACGAATTCACCAGCAAATGCTGGCGACCTACACCAGGGTCAATTAGCATCTAAAAGAGATCGACATATGGTTGGAGCGTGAACACACTTTGAGAAACGATAACTACTGTCTTTCACTTTCAGATGCTGTCATTGACCTGCTGTGGATTTCTAGCACTTACAGCCGTTGGAAAACATTGACGTGAGTTTCATGCGTAGGTGCCATGATGCTGAACTGAACGATAGTGTTTCAGTTCTTTCTGCTCGAGGAGAATGCTGCATTGGCCTGAATCACACTCTCGCTCAGCAGAACAATTCTTAGAGAGAGAGAGAAAATCTCAGCTTTAATGGGCACAGATTTGAAATGAACTGCTGTAGTTAAACATTCAGGGTAATGTCCTTTTCCAAAATGAGCAACAGAAATTAACAGTGGGTGCCCATGATTATAACTGTCTTGCAGGAGCTACACAAACTGACTGAGTTCAACGGAGCTAAATAAACATCAACAGAAATTAACCCAGGCTTCAGCAAGTAGGTCATTCCAGGCGTGTAGATAATTACAGCTTCCTCATACTATCGGACTCGTTAATGTGTCCACACCGATACCACTGAACAGCAACTCACTGTTAAATCAATATAGCCGACAAAAAGTATTAAAATCATAATTTGCTGCAACCACTTTGATTTTAAGTCCTGAAATCTATTGTTTTGAAGGAAAGTTTCAGATCAGACTTAATATTTTTTGGGGAAAGAAAAGCAGCAGCCGCTCACATCAACCTCATGCAATTCTCCAGCGCCCTTTCACACGGAGCCTCAACACTTATATTTGTGAGAAAGGTCTAATTGTGTTATTCAATCAATAAGAAAGCTGTGGTCAAAATGTAGCTTCTGCTGCTTGGCAATCAGCATTTCAAACTCGTGTTCACATTCTTGTCAAAAACTCTCCATTGCTCCCATGGATCACCTTGGATTTCTAGGTTTAGACAGATGGAGGAATGCAGAATGAGAGTTTACCCTCCGAGCCGACTAGGATTATCCCAGGTTTAATTTATTTGAACTGAAGCAATATTGCTCTTACTGTTCCCAGCAGCAAAGCGACTGATGGGGAATGGGTGGGCTGATGCATTGGACAACACTGGAGGAGCCAAGCGCAGTGGAGCTTGGGTTAGGGAGGTCAGCTTCCTAATGCTATTGAAAGGCTGGTAGTGTCACACTTTTCAATAACATAACTGTCTGGCCAGCTTTCCCCACTGCTTGTCCAGCTTGGACCACCCTACCAGTTAGGGCTTTGGCTGCAGGGTCACCAGGAGATGAAGGGGAGGATTCCCTGCCCCCAGTGATTGGTCGACCCTTCCAGGTCCTGCTGATGAGCCGGGCCGGGCTGCGCTGTCATCAGCAGTGACTGCCCTGGGATACTGCGGCCCCTCCTGGCTCAGGAAACGGACTAGAGACCATCACAGAGGTTTGGACTCAATTCTGACATTCAGGGGTTAAACATGTAACCTTGGAGCCAGTAGAGCTCCAAGGGGACCACCTTTCCCCCACCCCATCCACTTAGTTTCCCCAAAGAAGGGTGGTCATGCTTGATTAAATAACATTAAAATTCTTCTCCTCTGAGAGTTTGATGGGATCATTTCTAAATTGGAGATAACCTTGATTTCCATCGTGTTGCTTGGCTTTATAGGGTTACAGCATCAGTGTTTTTCTATTCAGTGGCCTTGCAGAGAGCACTGTTCAACCCTAATTTGTACTGTATTTTTTCACAGAAAGATGATTCAGTATGAATGAGTATAAACCCAAGGCTGAAAATGTCCCCTAGTCTTAGCCTTGAAGACCGGTTTATTTTAAAAGGTTAAAAATAGCACAAAAATTGTGGTATTTATTTTCATTCCATTCAGTTTAGAAGCTGTTTTCCTCCAATTCCTACAAATCCCGGTATCCAAGTTGAGAGTAAAGGCACACCATCAAGATCTCATTTTGCAGAGAACAAGAATCCGACTTGCTAAGAAGGTGACTCGATTAATGTCTTTTTAGTGAATAAGTAAAGAAAAACCTTCCAGCTTAATGTCGACATGAACAGAGTGTACACAGTCACATTGTCCTAACCTTGGAAAGATAGCAGAGCCTAAGTGAGAAAGTTCTTCATCTTCAATTGTAAAACCATTGCAGTTAACCTAGTGAGAGGAGGAGAAAAAGAGACAATAAAAACTTTGTAGGAACAATTGTTTCTTCCTCAATCATTTTGCACAGATAATACTGGATTGTTGTTCAGCCTGAAGGCTAACAGTCAATCCCTTGGGTCCGTTGCCAATCCACTGAGTTAATCCCTCACCTTGACCCCATTTCACTTCAGAAATGATCTGAACCAGATTTATATTGCTTTGCCACGCAACAAAACATGTTTAGGGGGCCATTTGATATTTACATCGTAGGCGTGTGAGTCATGTCATCTCTGAGGTCATTCTTAACGGTGACTTTCACAAAGCCAGGTTCTTGGTAATAGATTGTTTAATCCCATTTCTCCCCTTGTTTCTATATCATTTATAATTATGTTATTCCTACATTTAATATAACACCTTATTATGATGTTGCGATGTCTCAAAGCGTAGTAACTGTGTATTTGGAGTCTTCACAACTAAGATACTTGGATTTTTGCCAACCACAAAGGGAGGTAGTTACAGCGGGCATTTTGCAGGACTTCACTGCTTAATGGTCAAAGATCTGCACTAGACCGCAATTTATTTTTGCAAGGTACAGGCTATTATAGAGTCTCATTCATTCTGGCAACACTATGTAGGGGATAATAATAGTCCTTGCATTTGATATAGTACCTTATCAAGTTATTGAGACATCTCAAAGTGCTTCACAGAATATACTGTAAAGTGGATTGTGTATTTTATGGGCGAAATGTGTATATTTTGTGTATGAAGTTCAAAAGGAAAAGGCTTTCTTACATAATGGGAGTTAAACGTTCAGGCAGTTCAAGTTATTATAATAATGAGAGTGAACAACATTTTTTGTAGAAAAATCTTTAAACAAAGCCACTCTGTTTTTTTAAAAAAATTATATAGAAAGGTTTGTATTTTAAAACCAAAGGCATTACTCCTTGTGAGTGGAAGGAAACTGGCAATCCAAGGCCGCCCCCACCCCCTCCCCCAAAAACAACACTGATCACGAGTAGGTGTCATACACACACCGGGTCTGCTTTGGAACCTCTTAAGTACGTGCGCAATTGGCTGCCGCGTTTTGCCCACAAAATATATAGTATATTCTGTGAAGCGCTTTGCAACATCTTGAAGACCTGATAAGACGCTATATTAAATGCAAGGATTATTATTATTGTTATATTATTATTACCATTATGAGTTTCCATATGTGAAAGCACACCCGACTGACCGGGAAGTAAGATCACTCCCGGCTCCACCTTAGACACTCACTGAGGGCAGTCTAACCACTCTTTGTTTGGATCCAAATCATCAGGACTTTGTCGTGCTACGGTGAACCTCTGCTAACTCTGCATAGTTAATCCCCGTGTGGTGTCCTGAAGAATAGTGGTTAGCACACTCGCCTCGCAAGCGAGAGGGATCCAGTATACTACCCCACTTGAAGGGCGCTATATAAATGCAAGTTGTTGTTGTAGTTGAGAGGACTTGGGTTCAATTCCTGGGTGGAGCAAAACCTTAGGCAAGTTTCCTTAATCCACAAGCCTCTGTTTACCTAGCGGTAAGTAGCGTTCTCAGTTGATTGACAGATCGCTTTCCAGGGATAATAATTCCTCCAAAAAAAAGTCACTCAGTTCACGACTGTGAGAAATTAGGCGCCGAATTCCCCCACAAAATACGTAGTCAATTCATTTTACAATATATTCTGTGAAGCGCTTTGAGACATCTCAACGACATGGTAATGCTCTTTATAAAATGCAAGGATTATTATTATAAGAGATTTAAAAAGGAATAGTTTATATTCTGGTAACTAAACCGAGCAGCAGGCAGGTAAAAGGGAGGTAAAAAATCTTCACATTTAAAGTAGTTCCATATCCTCCCCCCTCTATTCCCCCGCCACCCAGAAACAACATAATAATGTTGTCATTTACATAGTGACTTTGATTAGAAAAGCTGGTGCCATTACACAGTTTCTCACTCTTCAAACCGCAATAATTTATCTAAAAAATAAAATAAATATTTAAATAATGCAGCTGATTGTGGCTTTTAATAGACTCGTAAAAAAAACCTCTACTGTCTGAACCCCAGGGCCCATTGCTCCAATCTTTCTCCTTTTATGGTAAGCCCATCATGACCCTAAGGCAGTTTGCCTTCTGCATTCGACACCAGTGAAACACAGGACCTCTGAGTGTGCGGGAAACCTGACCCGCAAAGGACAGGAATGTGACTAATCCTGAGCTGACTGGCAGCAACAGTGGCTTTAAGTGTGGTTCCCAAGTGAACTTGTAGCCTTGTGTATTTCAGGCAGAATTGGCAAGTCTCAGCGATTGTTACTTGTTTGCTATTAATAATAATAAAAAAGTATAATAATCCCTTACAGTTGATATTAAAATATAATTTACGTATATATTGGCATTTACAGCTTTCACGTCAGGAGAATGTCTCCAAGAGTTTCACAGGTTTTACTGCAAAGTTTAATGACTGTATGGTGTAGGCAAATGTGCCATCCAATTTGTATATAGCAGCGTCCCATAAACAAGCATGAAGTGAATGATCAATTTTAGCAGATTGATTGTTGGCCAGGACTCTTGAGAGAAACTTCTTTCTATTTTTGAATAGTGCCAAGGGATTTTAATTGCATCTGCATAGTGCCTTTCATGTCGGGAGGACATCCCAACCTGGGGCTTGAACCCACAATCTCTTACTCAGAGGTGAGAGTGCTGCCAATGAAATATTATATAGATATCGGGGCAGATTTTTAAAATCTAAAGATGTTCGTATGGAATAATCCTATTCCTCTATATGGCAAGTAAATTGGGCATACAAGATAGAAAAGCTATTACAGAAATCTTTAACTAAAAGCCAACTAATAGAATTAAGAGCAAGCAAATGTAGTTCATGCACATTCCACCCCAAGGAATTATTATCAAAGCGATTCTAAAACTGAATTTGAAAGAAAGCTACATTGCGATCGTACACAACTGAGCCATAGTGGGATGGGTCTAAGAAGATCTCACCACCCTAATTCAAATGTCTTTCCAAACAAAGTCTTAAGCCATCTACAGCACTGGATCAAATTGGCCACTTGGAAGTCTTGTTCACTTGAAGATAACATTTGTTATTTGCCTCCAGCAGGAGTTGTTTATTTTTAAAAAACATAATTTCCATACATCATTTGACACACGGCATTTGATTTTTTGCAACTTGTTTTTCCAACTATTCGAAAAGAGTAGAAAGTTTCTCCTGGTTCCCTGGCCAACCAGCCCACCAATATAGCTGGTCATTCAGTTCATAGCTGGTAATGGGACAAGAAATGGTATGTGCTATATCAAATTCAAGGATTATTATTATTATTGTGAATCCTATGAAGTGCTTCAAAACATCCTCCTGACGTGAAATGTAAGGATTATTATTTTTATTATATTAATGAAAAGGAAATTCAAAAGTCATTGTGATCTGAAGTATACATCTTCCCCCACCCCCTTTTAATTATAATTTTTGTGGGCGTTCCCTTTAGGGTTCAGGAATTCTTTTTCAGCAATTTATGTAATTTATTTAATATTGAATCAAAATGGGTTAGACTACATCGTACATCTCACCAGAGAGAGTCATTGATACAGGAGAACAAGAATGTCCTTCAACAGAAGCCAAATGGTGCTTGAACATCAAAATCTCTGGTGGCAGTTTTTGCCCTATAATTCTAGTCCTCTAACAACCTGCAAAGAGTCATTTAATGGTTAGTTACTGTTTATGATGGTGCGACAATTGTTAACAGGATTTTTTTTTACGTGTGAATGTTAAGCTTGTAGGCTTGTAATCAAATTATCCAGTCGTACCCGAGAGAGTAAAAATAAGAGTAACAAAACTGGGCTAAATGCTGAGATCTGTCAAACCTTTGCAAACAGCTGAACCAATGTGTCTCGATCTGGGAAGTCAAAGTGCTTGGAGTAAAAGTGATGAAGGGCAGCGATGTCACTCTCAATTAGCTCTCGCTTTTCATTGTCCAACTGATCGAGATCTGTATTAAAACAAGGAAGTAAAATCCATTAACAATCTGCGTTGAAGCAAAGGACTCATAAGTAATCCTAACACGTTTTAGGAATTTCATGCCCAACTAATTTCGGTTTGCTTTCACTTTTGCAGTTAATCTTATCTGCAATGACAAGTGGTTCAAGGAAGACAGATTATTGACAGGCTTTGGGCTATGTTTACAAGCCAAAACTCAGACATGGGTCTTTTAAGAACACATGTATTTTGCTCACACGTAAACACACGTGAACAGCGATGACCTGAATTACATAATTAACAAGCAATAAAAAGGATTTATTAATTTGTAATTAAGACAATAATCATTTTCATTAGTTAGTTACACATTTGTGTGCATCTCCATCATGGATGTATGTATGGATGGGGGAAAACCAGCAGCAAAGGTCAGAGTCTTGCTTATGCTTTGTACTCTCTGGATCCATGTGAGACTGAAACTCTGCAAACCAAGGCTTTTAGTGTCAACCTGGCGAGTGCGCACACGTCAACGAGTTAGGATGTCATTTCCTGTGATTCAGCCGGTAAGTGCAGGCGTAATGGAGGATAGGGGAGCGGGGTTACGAGTTAGGAGATGACTTGTTTCAAAATACGACTTGTGCAAAGAAATCTAAGTGGTTTTGATAGGAAGCTGAACGGAACTTGTACATTTAAATCAGTTGTACTACTTCGGCGATTCTACGATTTATAAAAGGTAAAACTTTTTACAGTAGCGTCAGAAATAATAAAAAAATCATCGGCTGTGCAGTGAACCTCGGGTGAATGTTCTAGCAGTTTGGTCCAAATTTAAAAAATTCCCACAGACAACCACGAAGTGAATGACCTACATAGCTGAAGGTTTGTTGGCACAGGAAGAAACTCGTCTGAAATAGTGTCGATGTCTCTTTAATATTGCAGGCAAACTTTATAAGAGGTGCCTCATATCAAAAGGACACAAAGCACGGAGGTGGCCTTGGCTTCAGCAGCGTGAGCAACACTTAATACTTACTAGATTCAAACTCGTTAAGAGACAGCAATTCCTCTGACGGAGTTATCTCCGTCTGCAGCTTCTACAATTAAAACGTGAAGGAAGTACAACTGGATTAAGAAAGCTGCGTTACAATAAAAGAATTTAACAGGCTAACAGAACTTTTCAAACAAAAACTAATCGAATACAAATGCAGATCTTCGAAACGCGATCACTGGATGGATAGACCGAAAAATAAATAAAAATAGGGCCTGTGACTGAGACGCACAGAATTTCCCAGATTGCTCAGCCTGACAGCTGCAGTGAAACTGCACGATAATCCCAGTCAACTAGAGCCTGGTTTAAAATCCCACATTTAAACCTCAGGCAGGCTGGAAAGCACTGAGATTTTGCTCACTCCTTGAAAACATAATAACAACAACAACAAGATTTCATTTATAGAGCGCCTTTCACGTCGGGAGGACATCCCAAGTCGCTGGACAGTTGGGTCGGGACCCGAGCTGGGGGGGGCAATGGTCAGGGTGAGGGGACGGAAGGGAGGGAGCGAGGAGGGGGTAGAGAGTCGAGAGGGGAGCTGAAGGCTGAAGGTCAAAGAGAAAGGTCTTGAGACCGGCCTTGAAGGAGGAAAGGGAGGAAGCGGCGAAGGCACTGGGGATGGAGTTTCAGAGCCTCGGGGCTGAGAGGCTGAAGGCCTGGCCACCAATGGTAGGGAGGTTGGGGCGGGGATATGGAGCAGACAGGAGCCAGTAGAACGGAGGGTACGGGTAGGTAGGTAAGGGGATAGTAGATCGGAGAGGTAGGAGGGAGCAAGGCCGTGAATGGCCTTGTAGGTGAGGATGAGGATCTTGAATTCGATAATAAGTCTTGCATTTTAGTTAAATCATGTGGGGCGTCGACTTATGTCAAGGGTAGGCATCCTATGAACAGCCCCAACCAGATCTATAGGTTTGTTGCTCAGTTGCTGTGAGCCACCTCACCTGTTGGACCAGGATTCTCGCTGTGAGTCTGACTGTCTCTGAAGGGTTCCAGTTCTGTCCAAATTTACACATAGACGCACACTCCAGCTTGTGCATAGGCCAGTCGGTTTTCTATAGAAACAAGATGTACTCTTTAAGCATTTCAAGAGGGCTTAATTTCAGAAACGCGCAAACAGTTTCCGATCTCGAATTCCAACACTAAGTCATGGCCGCCGGGAAGCATTCCTGCTCAAAGGGGAGAGTTCGAACCCTGGAGAAACCATTTCACTGTCTTCCCGAGAAGGGAAACGTCCAACTAGCTGACATCATGGATTTCCATGACCCACCGCACGCAGAGAGGGGTTAAATATTAAAAAGGGAAAAAAAGCTCACTAAACATTTTACAATTTGAAACTCGCCGAAGAATGATTTCCAACCAAAACAGGGGACCTTTAGCCGTAAGCAGGGGTCACTCTTTAAAATAGTAACGGAAGTAATAACAATTATTCAAATTAATAATTTAAAGTAGAAATAGATTATTATATAATATATATTAATATTTGGGATATTAGTGCAGTCGCATCACTTCCCCTTTAAAAACAGCCCTTTGGTAAGAGCCAGACTTAAATGGGGTAACGGACAGCGGGACAGAGAGACGAACGTCAATGAGAGCAGTGTAAAAACCGCAGGACTACAGCAGCTGTATGTCGTACTGGGCGTGTATTATAATCTGTAACTTGGCCGGCACAAGCCTGACTCCACACCAGGCCAGCAGGTGGCCAGATGGACACCAGAATATTAACTACGCAGAGAACTGTAAAACAAGTGTAGCACTGCTGCTGCGAGTGATGCTGACAGAGCACCACACATGCCAGGGTAGGATACAGGATGAAGGGAAACATACAAGTCGAATCTATATCAATGGTTTAGCAAATATAAATCTATTTACATCTCTATTTTCTTTAGGCTTTCTGTTTCTTTTTAATAATTTAGGAGGGAGGAGGAGGAAAAAATTTCTTCTTTAAAATTTCCAATTTGATTATATACTGTACATGACTGTCAAGTCTAATCCTGTTCCCAGTCTCCAACCCACCCAACAAACAACACATACACACACACAACACATAACACACACAATCCAATGTGGGCTCCTGGCTACCAGGAGAATTTACCCAATTCTTCCTTCCCTAATCCAGAAACAATCAAATCAATGAAGTGCTCCTTCCTCCCCCCTCCCCCTCACCCTGACAAAGATCAAGTGACCAAGAAGGATCCAAGCCCAGGATTTTCCTGGGCTCTAGGAAACCACCCGCCGACGCTGATTGGCTGTCTCTGGCCTCCTTCTTGTCCCTCGTCCACTCCACTCTCGGCGGTTATACTACACCCAGAGATCTTGGCACTCTCTCCCTCAATCCATCCAACTTGGCCCCTCCTTCCCCATTTTCAGATCATGCTTGAAGACCTTCCTCTTCAACCTTGCTTAATGTCACCCCCCTTTCCCCCTGCTCGGCCTCAGGCTCCGCCACTGTAAAGTGCTCCGAGACGCCCTGGGTGAAAGGCGCTACTTAAATGCAAGTTGTTGTTGTGTTTCGCCTCTCCGCAGACACTGGGAGAGAGGGCTTGTGAAGGTGTGTAATCTTACCTGGCAGTTTACATTGCAGTAGAATGCCAACTTACAACGTCCACATTTTGCCAAACCCTCTTTTCTGTAAAGGAAAGAAAATGTGGTTACCATTGGCCAAAACCTGGAACTGGGACATGGAGATCCAAGATAAGACTGGTTCAGACCAAATTGATCCGGACATGACCACGTGAACCAAATCAAAATAAATCTATAATACCTTTGAATTGTTCACCAAATACCTATTGCTAACATAACCGATCTCCACCTAGATATCCCTGGGTGGTCTGTTCTATATATTTTCCAATCTCAGTGTAGAAGTACTTAAATCTGAACTGTCTGCTCACTTCCTTTTGCAGAGCTTGAAATCCAGATCGCTTTGTACAAGAAGAGCTGACGTCAAAGCCTGAAAAAACAGCTGTTGTGGCCTCTACACATTTACAATCAGCCAAGATCAGCTTGTGGAGTCCTGTAGCTCAGTGGTTAGAGCACTCGCCTCGCAAGCGAGAGACCTGGGTTCGATTCCCTGGCAGGGCAAAACCTTTGGCAAGTTTCCTTACTCCACACTCCTCTGTTTACCCAGTAGTAAGTAGGATTCTGGTTGTTAGTCGATTGGCGGATCACTTTTCCGGGCGTAATAATTCCTTTAAAAAATAATAATTTGGTCACTTCAATCCACGACTATTTGTGGGACGCGTTTCGCCCACAAATATACAGTCAACGCACTTTACAGTATATCCTGTGAAGCGCTTTGAGGCATCTTGACGACGTGATAAGGCGCTTTACCAAATGCAAGGATTATTATTATTATTGTACCAATCCTGCAGCAATCCTGACAGTTTGATTCCCTGTGTGATCGAGAGCACAACAGATCCAGTTGGCCAGGGAATTCATTTAAACATCAACTCATGCAACCTTTTTTTGTCTTGCTGTTTACACACTTATAAACAGACACCTGGGTACAAGTTACAGAGCACTTGTTATTTCCATTATAATACCTGACTGGTGTTGTTTACCAATTATATTCCTACTCTCTCCTCCTTTCTCCATCCACCCACATCCTATCCTTAGACTTGCCAAACGACAAGTAGAGAGATACAACAGGAAAAAAAACAGCCGAGTAAAATAAATGATTATTATCCTAAAATTGCAATGCACAGCCGATAAGGAAATAAGACTGGTCGGCTCTGCAACAGTATAATCCAAGGTGGAACACACTTGAGCATAAAGGCAGATATAGATGAAAAATTTCACTCTGTGTTTTATCTATCAAACAACGTTTACTGAAGAGAATTGTGTTGTACAGTAGTGTCGAGCGCTGAATGCGGTTTGCAACCTGACACGAGCTGAATGATGGCATCTGGGATTTACACAAAACACTGGGCCTGGTTCCACGCCAAACATGGAGTCTGAAATTATGACATTTCACAATTATTGCTGTTGTTAATCATTGTCAGTGATAGTTATGAAACATCCTAAATTCAGCAGCTCAATGTCGCTCCAAATCTGCAGTACGCTATGTCCAGCTGTCGGTTCATTGACACTAGGCCAAACGATGGCTGAGAGATTCCTGTAGCTCAGTGGTTAGAGCACTCGCTTTGCAAGTGAGAGAGCTGGGTTCAATTCCAGGCAGAGGGCGAAACCTTGGGCAAGTTTCCTTACTCCACACAGAGCCTAATAATAATCCCTCCAAAACAACAAAACAATAATAAATTGGTCATTTTCAATCCATGACTGTTTGTGGGACATTGCTGTGTGCAATTGGCTGCCGCGTTCGCCCACAAATATACAGTCAATTCACTTTACAGTATATTCTGTGAAGCACTTTGGGACGTCTAGAAGACGTGAAAAGCGCTATATCGAATGCAACGATTATTATTATTATTATTTGTTTAAATATGAAGAACCATCATCCCTTGTGGGTGTTGTTTCGGGCAGTGTTGCTCACTGACCTTTACTCAAGAGATCCCCAGGAGCAGTATTGTGATCAAACCACTGCACTTATCAACAACCACAACATCTTGGCATTTATAATAATAATCCTTACATTTATATAGCGTCCTTCATGCAAGGAAGCTGGAGTTCCAGAGCGCTTACAACCCACATTTACAGGAGGGGGAAGGTGGTCCATTGCAACCCCAGATTGATTTGAATGAAATCTCTATTTAACAGCAAAATGAAATGCTTCCAGTCGAGAAATTAGCTGAGAAACATTATGGGTGTGGTGGGGGACTATAATGTGAACAGTCAGCCTGGAGCAGAAACAGCCTGGGCGTCCTCCAGGGCATCGGAAACTCCCATTTAATTTACAGCATTAACTGAAGCAACCGAACCACAGCTCAAGCCAATAACAGAGTAAGATGCTTCAGGAGCATATTAATGGCACAGACACAGCACGACACTGTGCTGCGATGGCCTTGAATGATCACTTGAACACCAACGACTGATTGCACCAAGCTAACCAGTGGAGTCTCAATCAAACGTAGCAGAAAGCCTTTCAGGGTCTTCAAATTAATTGCAGTTAAGGTGGGACTACTCTGCTGTGTTAATATTATGTAAACCACACGCCGCACAACCATACATCCACTTTATATAGAACGCATAAAAAAGAAAGAACAAACAATGTCCACTGACATTCGCTTCACCTTGAAGCTGAAGCTGTGTGTTAAGCTGCAGTGTAGTTCACTGTTGGGGAAGGTGGGTGGGTGGGGGGGGGGGAAAAGGCAATAGCTTTCAACTGCAGATACAAGGAGAATAAATTTCTTGTGACAACCTGTAATTGGTGGCTGTTTGTCCTGTTATTTTTAGCAACGTTACATTACTTTACTACCTTCTAGAATTCATTTAGAAACCTATTGCTACAACTTTATTTTTACTCTTCAATATATCCCACCCCCTTGAATGCAATTATTAAAAAAAATACTCTCCCCACCTTATTATTCCACATTATTCAGATGGGGGGGTGGGGGGGAGAGAGAGGAAAGAAGGGATGATGATGATGATGATGAAAGATCTCCCACGGCCAATGCAAATATCTCTGTGCCTCTCCTTCCCAGGGCAGTGTTACCCACTATTTCCACCCTGACCCAGCTGAAGGGTACATTCCAATAGACTAGTCACCCTCGTTCATTCTTCGTATACAAGTCAATAGTGACCATTAATAAGCTGTTGACCGTGGGGGGGACACGGAAGAGGAAAGAAGAAAAGGCATTACTGCAACCCCAAATCTTACCATTCAGTACACCTTCCAGTGGAAGCCACTGGACAGTGGTCAGTAAGTATCAGGAGTCTTGGCTGATCTCTCTACCCTATAGGCACTGATGCCATTTGTAGCACCCCACTTCTGCTCCAACTGACAACAGTTAACGCAGCGCAGAACTAAGACTGAACCTTGAACTTCCCATGTCTGTTTGGTTCCGTTTTATTCTAAGATTACAATGATTTTACCAACCGATCCTACAAGGCAGCAACTACTCACTACTTTTGATCGGGGACCACGATCTCGGCTACTCTCAGGAATGCTGCAAAACCTCCCCAAGCGGCCAACCATTCATCACTCGGCAACGCGTTCAACAGACAGCAACAGGCTGCCTGTGTAGGCCATAGAGGCTCAGCCTACTCTCATCCTTCATTGAGATCCACATTCACGCACTTACACAGTAGGGCTATCTTGGTTGAGATAGCTGGGAATGAATCCTGGAACCCTCTGAGACTTTATGGCTGATGGTCACTTTAGGCAGCGGTCATTAAGGAGCCTCACAGGGTCCTATTGCTATATTTCCTCAAAGGAGAGCTGCAATATCTACTGTGTAGATAGCCAATCTGCTCTGTTCCTACTTCAATAACTAACAGATGCATTGCAACTGCAATCAGAAATGTCACTGAGAAACTACAGGCATCAATCAGTGACTTAACCGAGGGAACCACTTAATGAGTTGGCACATCTTAATACAGTGTTAGAAATGGAGATACACACTGCATCAAAATGTAAGGCGCTCACTTACAATGTCTTACTTTCAGTTGTACGTCAACCCTTCATCATAAAATTAAGCAGATCAAAATTTCCGGGCTAAACATATCTCTTTGTAAAGATTGCTTATTGTACTGTGTCACCAAAGAAAGGTCACCTTATTTGGAGCACTGGAGGTGCATCTGCAACATATCACTAGTAGCCAAACTTTGTATATCTGTCCCACATTTTTCAACCTTCTCTCTCTCTCTCTCTCTCTCACTGCAGCAAGAATGAGGTCTTCATTAGTTAAGCCGTTTCTTTTAAAAGGACTTCAGCCAAGACCATATTTATGAAAAAAACTTTTTTTAAAAATTGCAATTATTTTAAGCCTGACCCAATTTTCAATGCAGTTACACGGAGGTAGCGGTAGCAATCCATCTAATAGTTGGGTAAATAGGAAAACTAAAGCACTCTGGCCTTACATCTAAGTGTTAAATTCAGCATTTTAACCACATTTAAAGGCTGCAGCTCCGCGCTCCTCTCCTTTGTGAGGGAAGTTCTCGAATTCTGTGTGTCACACGACATTTCTCGAGTCCAATTCTATCACAGAATGTTCCTCCTCCCAGGGATTAGGTGTCTGTAAAGGTCCCAATGCTAAACATTGCATTTCCCATGATAACAACAACAATCCTTTTATTTGATTGGTGCCTTATCGGGTCATCAAAACAACTCAAATGCTGTAGTGTATTTGTAGGCAAACACAGCAGCGAATTCAATGTCCTGCAAATGGCCGTGAAAATGAGCGATCAATTTTTTATCTGGAGAATTGTTGGCCAAGTTACCGAGCGAAACTCCGGCAAAGCACGTCACAACAATCTGCGGGTCGGGTGTAGTGACTGTCTGTTACACTGCAGGAACACAGCACACGGGTTGTGAAAGTTCTCCAAAGTATTCAAGTACCCTGCAGCCAAGCACCTTCTGATAGGATTGTTATTCAAATCTTACACCGGGTAAGATTTGGGGTTAAAATAAAATAAATAAATGCATTCGGCAGAACTTTCAGCTCGTAACCGAGGCTGGCACTACAGTGGGCTGCCGTCGGTGCCTTTCTTTGGATAAAATTGAAAACCCTGGACATTAAAGATCCCACAACGACAAATGACATTGGTAATAGCGCCTTTCACGCCGGGAAGACACTGTAGGAAAGAGAAGGGAGCTCCTCCCGGCTACATTCATTTCACGGCTGTTTGTGGGGCATCCCTCTGCACAAACTAGCTGCCCGCGCCCGCCTACAACACACGCAGTCACTACACCACACACTACAAAATCACGTTGGTACATAGCGCCTTTCACGTCAGGAGGACAAGTCAGGGGTTTGGACCCGAGCGGATCCGACTGCAAGTCTTGGGGAAGAGCTCGTAGACACGAGAGAAGGATGCGATAAGGTGCCACATCAAATCTATTACAGGACAGGACAAGGACAGAGAGGACTCTCTCAAATACAAGGCCCTGGAGGAGGAGGAGGAGGAGAAGAAGAAGAAACAGAGGCAGCAGCAGCAGTAGCAGGAACAGGAACAGGACAGACATGCACTAGGACCTGGAGAGAAACCATTGCAGACGTGGAGTCCTGGACAGGAGGGGGTTTGTTAGGGGGGAATTCACAATTAGAAATCTGCAGCGAAGGAAACCCTAATGCGCCTCTATCACCACCACCACAACAACAACAGCAACATCACCGTCATCACATACCGAGCAAAGCAATACTCGCAGTGGTTGCCCCTCTCATTGACAGTCAGGACATGGGTGTAAGCCGGACACGTGAAGATCAGGTCTCCTACATGGAAGTTCCTGCGAGCCCTCAGCCCTCTGCCTTTGCCCTCACTCAGGAACCTCTCCAGCTCCTCTGGCATGGCTGGGCCAGGCTGCCCACCCCAGCAGGTGCCCTCTCAGAGAGTCACAGAGAGGGGGAGAGAGAGGGTTCCTGGTTCCTCTCCTCTGGTGTCTCAGGCTCTCACAGGCCAGTGTCCATGTTGCTGCTGAGCTGCGAGTCAGTCTGGATCCGCCTATTAATGGGGACCGCGTCATACACTCTCTCTCTCTCTCACTCTCCCACCCCCTTATCCCTTTGCAGGATGCTCTTGGCTTCTCCCAGGGCTAGTGCCCCCCCATCCCCCCCCCCCCCCCATCCCAAGGTGCTGCCTCACCCGACCAGAGTGAATTCCAATGTGAATTCGGGTTCTTACCGATCCCCAAAGGTTTTCCATCTCAATGCGAACGAGAACCAATCCCTTGGCCGGGTCTTGGGCTTCTCTTGCTTCAGGTTCTCGGGCATCTCCTCGGAGGGTTCAGACAACAGACAAATGTCCCTGTTTTTCCCGGTTCCTTTGATCCCGGGGGGAAAGTATTCCCAAACGGTCACTTTTTTGTTGTTTCTGTCGAGGGGTGCAACTTTGTGGTAACTTTGCCGTTTCGCCGCGACCAAATTTTTTTTGAGTCCCGATAAATTTTTAACCTGGAGATCAACCAAGTAAAATGGTTATTATCATATAACGCCTTTCACACTCAGGAGGACGTCTCAAAGCACTTCTCAGGATTGACTGTAAAATGCAGTGAATATAATAATAATAATAATAATCATTGCATTTGATATAGAGCCTGATCACGTCTTTGAGATGTCTCAAAGCGCTTCACACACAGGATATACTGTAAAGTGAATTGACTTTAAAGTGTATTTTGTGGATGAAACACGGCAGCCAATTGCGCAGAGCAGCGTCCCACAAACAGCCGTGGATTAAGTGACCAAATTATTATTATTATTATTATTATTATTATTATTATTATTATTAAATTATTATTATAAAAATGCAGCATATCCTTAACACTGCTTTGGAGTGTAAGTCTAGACTCTAGAAGACTATGCGAGTTGAAAGTCCCGTCAAAGGGCTTGAGCCCGCAATCTTCCGATACAGGTAAGAGTGAGTTCAACACCCCTCAAAACCATTCCTTTAAAGATTGTCAAATCTCTGCACTCGGTGAATATGACCATCTCTTAAAAAGAGTTAAGAAATACTAGTCTGGCCTTTACGGATGAATTTGAATCCATTTTATTGTTCGGTTTAAAAAAGAAACTGTTTATATGTTATTAAATAATAACCTACGACACTTTCTTCCGTCACTTTATTCACGATGACTATCCTCAGCCGAAACAATGTTCAAAAATGTCTCCCAGGATTGTGAAATTACTGATTTAAAAATGTTGCAAGGAAAAAGTACCAAAAAGTTTCAAAATGTTTAATGTTGATACGAAACAAAGAAAAACTATAATGTGTCTAGTAGTTTTCCACGTAAACAAGATGCATTTGTGGGATGTGGAAAATATTTTAGTAATCAGCCCTGGCTGGTAATGCTCAAGAGATTCGATAGGGTGAACAGGGAGAAACTATTTTCACTGGCGGGTGGGTCGGTAACCCGAGGACACCCATTTAAAATAGTTGTTAAAAGAAACAGAGGGGAGGGGAGGGGAGGAGAATTGTTTTTACACAACGAGTTGTTGGGATCTGGAATGCATTGCCTGAAAGGCCGGTGGAGAGAGCGGGGGAGTGGGGTTGATCAGGGCTATGGGGAGAGCGCGGGGGGAGTGGGGTTGATCAGGGCTATGGGGAGAGAGCGGGGGAGTGGGGTTGATCAGGGCTATGGGGAGAGAGCGGGGGGAGTGGGGTTGATCAGGGCTATGGGGAGAGAGCGGGGGAGTGGGGTTGATCGGGGCTATGGGGAGAGCGCGGGGGAGTGGGGTTGATCAGGGCTATGGGGAGAGAGCGGGGGGAGTGGGGTTGATCAGGGCTATGGAGAGAGTGGGGGAGTGGGGTTGATCAGGGCTATGGGGAGAGAGCGGGGGGAGTGGGGTTGATCAGGGCTATGGAGAGAGCGGGGGAGTGGGGTTGATCAGGGCTATGGGGAGAGAGTTGGGGGAGTGGGGTTGATCAGGGCTATGGAGAGAGCGCGGGAGAGTGGGGTTGATCAGGGCTATGGAGAGCGCGGGGGAGTGGGGTTGATTTGGGTCGCTCTTTTCAAAGACGCTATGAGACAAATGGCCTCTTTCTGTGCTGTACAATTCTATGATTCTATGAGATGAAGAAGATTGTGTCCCAAGCTGAAAGGTTTTGATATAGCGCAGATGAGCCCGTATTAGGCATCCACGTTTCTCTATTCCCTGTGGTTCTGACACATATGATTCTATAGGGGCTAGAACCCCATCTTCCTCAAATAGTCATTCTTAACATGTGGGTCTGGATGGAGAGAATCAGCAACTTATTGTACCACTGAGGTCCATCATTGCTGAACAAAACCTGTCCTTACCCAATAACCTCCAATATACTGGCGCAGACACCATGGGCTAAATGGCCTCCTTCTGTGCTGCAAAGTCTGTGATTGCCTGATCTGCATGTTCCAGCACGTTTCCCTGGATGGGGATCGGAAGCAGGCTGAGTTATCCCCTGACAAGCTCAGGGAGACTGAGGCAACTGTAGAGTCTTTATTGCGACTCTAGCTAAGATGAGTTAACTAAAGCCACCCCTCTCCCTCCCACTCCCCCTCCCCCAAGCTATAACTTCTGCATTTTAAGAAAACACTTTATTAGCGTAAGGCTGTTCAAAATGACCATCTTTGAATACGTAGGAGAGGTAAAGAAAAGTCAAACATTTCTTCCTTAATTCAGAAGTTATAAAGGTATTTACTAAGGAGGTCAAGTTCAGGACAGTGGCTGTTTTTTCAGGGCTGAATGGAGGTGCAGTACATTGGCGCACTGTCACATAGTGCCAGGAAGCAATGGGATGCAGGATCGATATTTGTCTGTAGGGATTTTTATGTCTGAGCTGCACTGCTGTGGAGAAGAGTTGAGGGGAAGCCAAAGTGCAATACCTCCTCTCAGAAGTGAGATGGGGAATTACATGGATAGTCTCCACGGGGCTGGAAGGAGATGCACGGCCTAAGAGTAGGCAGCAAAGGAAAACAGTCAGCAGTAGAAAAAAAGGAGCTATCACATTCTCAAAAATAAAACTGTCTTCACTTTAATAAAGTAATAATCCCATCAATCAATCAACCAATCAATCAATCGATCAATTATAATAATTTGGTCACTCAATCCACGACTCTTTGTTGGACACTGCTGTGCACAATCGGCCGCAAAATATACAGAATTCACCCACAAAATATACAGTCAATTTACTTCACAGTATATTCCGTGAAGCGCTTTGAGACGTCTCGAAGATGTAAAAAAGGAGCGACATCAAATGCAAGGATTATCATCATCATTATTATTACTGTTATTGTTCTAGATTTGGATCCATCTCCTGGTGAAGTCAGTCAACGAGCCATGGAGATAGTATTCATGTGGTACGTCACCAAAGCTCAAGTGGACATGAGAAATTGTATTTAATACATCCGATTCAGAGATTTGCAGGGGCCACTTTCATTGTAAAAAAATAGTATGTTGCTGGGGACTGAGCTAAAGCACAATCAAAATATAAATAACCATGCAGCTCAGCACAATTTATTGTTAAATTCTAACTGAAGTCCAAATCCATTTGTATAAAATATAAGTTGCCTGTTTTAGATCTGTGTTTCTAAATCGATTATCAACTATGTTGTGATATAAAAGCAAATATAAACTTTGCATTTTTGTGCTTTGTTATAAATAATTGTCGATCCTAATGCAACATTTGTTGGCAAACTGATTTTGTTAGATCAAGTACAGTTTGTGCTTGAATCCGAAGCCCATATCTTTGCTGTTTCTTTATCCGTGCAGTTCGAACTAGGGAGAAAGTCATCGGGCAAGAAGGGAGGAAACGATGGCCCCTATCATGCTTGTACGTGCATTGTACCTACTTAACGATTTTATTATCAGATTTCTTCTATGAATAAAGGAACAGAGAGAGTGGAGGTGAATCAGCTTCAGAAGAGTTAGGCCACTGGTAGCAATTTTATAACAACAATAATAATAATCCTTGGAGTTGATACAGCGCCTTATCACGTCTTTGAGACGTCTCCAAGCGCTTGACTGAATGTACTGTAAAGTGAATTGATTGTGTGTACATTCTGTGGGCGAAACGCAACAGCCGATGGCGCACAGCAGAACATTGTCAAACAAAGTGAAGGCGATCTGTTTGTGGCTGCAGCACCATCTGGTGTAGAGGCGGATATTTACAATACTGCATTCGGTTTCAAAATAACAAAAGTGCCTTCCAGTGGACATCAGCGTTACAGCATTTGGTATTAATATTGAATACTCAGGAAGGTAGAAATAATAACAACAACAACTTGGATTTATATAGCGTACCTCCAACCCGGACGCGTCTCAGAGCACTTCGAATAAATAAACTCGAATGAGTGCTGGAACAATAACTGGCAGATTTGTCAAGTTGTTTAGAAGGCATTCTCGTCGTCGTTCTTTTTTTTTGTACGTGCTGGGGGTGGGGTGGGCAAGGGGTGCATCCCAATGCCTGGCACACAGAGAAACCATCACCATGCACAAGACTACACAAAATAAACTAGGAGTCCCACATATACATCGCATCCCCTCCCCATGCCCCCAAATCCCCTAAATAAAATTGGTCACTCACTCCATGACTGTTTGTGGGACATTAATGTGCCATGTTTCACAACAAAAGACACAGTAAATCCTGTGAAGTGCTTTGAGATGTCTTGATGCCGTGATAAGGTCCTATATATATATATACATATCAAATGCAAGGATTACTAAATGATTGAGACCGTACAGATGTGATATCCATGTGTGACTATTGAGCTTGATCTATTGACACATTAGATCAACCTTTTTGATATAATGGGAGGTGTTCTGCATGATCCCCAAAGATGATAAGTGCAACACAAATATCTAATAAATGGGGCAAAAGGCGGGTAATTGAAGTCGAGGTACAGATCAGCCCTGATCTAATAGAATGGCAAAACAGGCTCTAGGGGCTGAATGACCTCCTCCTGTTGCTATGCCCATATGTTCCTGATAACGAACCCTGTTCAATTGCTTCTCCAGATGATTTACAGGGATGCTAAACCC